CCCACTGAGTTATCCTATTTCGTTGATTATTTATGGAATTTCAAATTAAAAAAAAAATGAAGATTGAATTATAATTATTATAATTTGAAATTCTATAAATAATTAATTATGATTTATATAAATTAGAAAACATTAGAGAAAATTTTTCGCAGTTTTTTAAAGAATATAGAAAAATATAGAAAAATTATTTTTTCTAAGTGCGATTAAGTGTCGACTAGTTTGCTGGTAAAGCGGTTTTATAGGTGAATCAACTTAGCTGACTAAAGCAGAACTGGTGAAGATTGTTAGGAAAAGTTATACAAATGAATTTTTCATTTGAACTTTGATAAAATTTTATGCAAAATCAGAAAAATTAGACCAAATTAGAGAAAAATTTAAAAAAGAAATTTAGCAATCATCATAGAGCAATACTTAAAAAATACTTTTTATAATTTATAATTATGACATTTGAACAAATAAAAAAGGAATTAACATAAAGGAATATCTCCGCGTAAAGGAATGTAGCAAAAATTAAAGAAAATTTCCGATAAATTATAGTTTATTCTTAAATTATTAACGCCGAATAAGCGTTATTATAGTTCATTTTTGTAACATTTGTTTGAAAATAATTGATTCTACAAAATATCTCCTATTTCAGAGGTTAAATTGTATTGCAGTACTGAAAAAGAGCTCGAGCTCCTCTCTTCATAGGATCCACCATCCAGAAAAACTCCAATCGCACATCAGCTAATTTACAACATACTCTTAGTATGTTGCATATATCCAACTTCATAGACTACCCATGAATAAAGCAAATCCTAGAAGTAAATCCAGGTAGGCAAAGTGAAAATAAAATAAAATAGGAATATTAATAAAAATTAACGAAGGCTGATAAAAAGATGATAGAAAAATAGAAAGATAAATAAACATTATGATGGATGTAGGGAGAAGAGAGATTGTGTTCTCAAATTTTCAATTAATTGCTATTTTTTTCAGCGTTCAATATCTAACTGAAGTATTGAAATTATAAGCTTCATTTTTGTTTCGATAAACATCTTAAACAAATTTTATCGTTCGATTTGCTAATAAATAAGTAAAAAAAGAAATTAAATATATTTTAAATGAAAAAGATCGATTAACTCAAGCAATTTTAATGAGTTTTCAGAATTATTAAATAACTATTAAGTTTATTTCCCTTAAAAAATTTAAATACGACCTTATATATGCTGTTGAAAGAAGCTTTTGAGCTACCGTTAAAAGTTTTGGCTTTTAGTTCATTCGTACACATTAAATGTAAAAATAAATGCGAAAAACGAAGATTAATTAAATTATTCGATAATGAAGGTGATAAGTTCTTCTAATGATAAAGAATCACGTTGAAAAGGATGATTTGCATATGACTGTGATGGCATTATGAATACGATAAAAATTAGGAAGAATGATGGTAATTTATGAGTTATGTGATCCATTTTGTTTTTCCACTTCCATCGTAATTTTACTTTCGTTAATGCTTCTTAGAATCCTATAATCTTCTTTCTTTCCTTTTTTCCTTCGTTTATCCGTAATATCGTTGTGGATCTGATAATATACAAATAAATTGAAAGGGATTGCAAGGAATAATATCGGATTAATATTCAATCAAATAATAAGTACATAATGTTCAGAATTAACAGCGATTCTAACATTATTGCTTTAACATTTTTTTCCAATTTTTATTGTTTTTCAACGGAATTTTTACATTCAATAAAAATAAAAGTAATAAAAATATGTGAAACATATTCATATAATTAATGGATGATTTGGAATTATTCCAGCATATAGGATTATTCCATATTAGTTTTCGCCTGATTAGAGCTGATTACGTCAATAGAAAAGGCAAGCGAAAATAATTATGAAAAATTTTTCAAAATCGAAATTTTTTTTATTTCTCTGAGGTCATCAAAAATTAAATAAAATGAAATTAAAAGTTAAATTAAATCTGCTTAAATAAAAGTTGTGAAGTGTTTTTAGAAACTTTCTTTTTGGATCTATTTTAGTTTCAACGAACTAATGGGCATATTAGTTGACAAATGCGGTTAAAATTAGTCTATATATAATTAAATTGAATTTAGACTGAATTTAAATAAAAAATCAAAACTGTCCATGAAGGATGTGTCCTTTCTCCTACAATATTCAAATATGCGATGACTGGATAATGGACTCCACTTGCCAGCACTCAAGGGATGTCCAAATCAGTCCAGAGCATCATATCTCAGATCTTGAATACGCTGATGATGTAATCCTTTTTGCTGACAAGTATGACGAAATGCAAGTAATGCTAAATAACGTCTCAGGAACTACAGCAAGAGTCGGACTCAGGGTCAAAATAAAGAAAACGAAATTCTTTTCACCTTATGTGCAAGAAACTGAAGTGCCTAAAATGCCTCTTTTTGTAAATTCATTGCCAGTCGAAGAAGTTTCCGATTTTAAATACTTTGGGTCCACTCTAATACCAAATGGCCAGGCAAAAGATGATGTTACAACCCGGATCACGGCAACTAGAAATGTGTTCTTCAGTTTGACGAAACTTTTGTGGAGCCGTTGTGAAATTACCATTAAAACGAAAGTCCGCATCTATATTGCGATTCGTTCGATCTTGCTATTATGGCTCTGAGACATGACCAGTGAAAGTGGAGGAAATCAAGAAGCTATTTACTTTTGACCACTCTTATCTAAGGTACGGGTCCGTCGAGCGGATAAAATATCACATGATCACATCCACCTCTGTTCAGGCATCACCTGTATTAATAATGTTATCAAAAGCGTTGCCTTTGGTAATTAGGACGCGTTCTCCATCGACCACTACAAGAGTTGTCGGATATTTACCGTGATTTTTAAACCGTGTGATGGATGACGGAAAAAGCGAGATGAGCCAATCAAGATCTGAACTGATGCGGTCAGGAAAGATTTTGAACGTATAGATGGACCAGCAATATATGGACTTAGACGATGGAAAATGGAATGGCTTCTATTACTGTCGACGATGGCATCAGATTGCGCCGCTTGGAAGTGTCTTACTCTTGTAGCCATCCTAATCAGTAATGGTAAGAGCTGTTAAAAGAAGGAGAAAAAGAATCAAATTTAGAACTATCGAAAAAAACTTAAATAATGCATTTTCAGTGAAATTTTTGTAAATAATTATTTATTATACACGAGGCTAAAAAAAAACAACGAAATATTTCGACATGGTTATGAATAATTTATAATTTCGAAAATTGCACTTAAGCATGGACTTAAATATCGAAAATCCGAATGAATATCACCCATAATAAAATAAAAAATAATGCTAAGCGTTAATTTAAAAATTATCGAATCCTTTAACTATAAAAAGTTTATGAAAATAATAAATATTGTACTACCATGCACAAATTAATTTTCATTAAATAAAAAATACCTGAAAAAGTAAAAAAATATTCTTTTATAGCAATTTCTTGTACCCACACATCTATTTGTTTTAAAGAATACTCACTATTACTGGTTAGACTCGTTGCGCTGGCTTATCGGACTAGAAAAAGTCCTTTAGAGACAGAATTACAGGTGATCGCCAGCATAACCCACATAGACCAATCTATTCAATATGTTTATCTATTTCATTTTTTTCATAGGTTTCTAGTCGATTTAAGCTGGGTTTTAAGAAAAGAAAATGGGTATAATTTTTTGCTATAACTTAGTGGCTACCAATTTAGGCTCGCTAAGTTGACATTCTCTTGGGATGAGTTTCTGGATCCACTTAGGGATACTATTGCGCACTTGGAATTAGTATTATCCTGAACGGTTTTTAAATGGCATATTACCACCATGTCTGCCGCTGACTGAGCAATGATGCTTAATCTAAGTAAAACACGATTCCTCTCCCAGTTGTTTACAAATTTGCGTTAATTATTAATCAGTATTAATAACATTTAACTTTATTCGATTTATTTCGCATATCGCAAAATTGATTTACGAATATTTGCTGGAATCTATCACTCATAAGAATCAAAAAACAAGCTCAAAGCCAATCAAAATTGCACAAAAATTTAATTTTGTAGCAAAAAATCGATCTGATTGTTGAATTTCAATAATAAATTTACCCCTTTTTTAAATTATAGTTCTCAATTATAAATTGCATTTGCTATAATTGCATGTATAATAAAATAATGAACATTTAAGGATTGCATGCGCATTAGTAGTGAGGAATAAAGAGAAAGGGAAAAGTTTGCTTTTGCTGTTTATCTAGAATATTTCAATAAAGCAAAACAATCAAAAGAGTACAGATTTGTAGTTGTTTTTTGCCTATCCGATAATTACTATATAGAAAGATGAAAGGAAAACGCTTTAAAACGATTGCTTCTGAATGCTCCGATATCGTAAAATAAAGGAGTTCTTCTATCCTAGGTAGAAGTAATAGCTCAGTATCCTGGCATCTTTTTATCAAATTCTCGCTTTCAAGTGTGGTTGAAGCTTCCTCGCAACTTCAGCTATTTCTGGATATTTAAATATATATTTAGAAGCTCAATTTTTAAACTTCATCACTGTTAATAGCCAATCATTTTTAGTTGTCAGACAGCAGCAATTTTCTCCTTTGCATTTCATATTTTTCTGATTGGATTCGCTCCAGTGGTAATTAATAGGATAATACAACTTTACCAGAGGGTCACTTGAGAATAAAATGTTTCATAATAAATATAGATGAGTTTTAGCGACATATATTTACATAATTAATAATTACATTAATTATAATGATATTTACATAATTATATAAATAATTATAATGATGCTAAAAACCTGCTAAACATACAATGCTATGGTTTTGAAGACAGAATGTCGCGAAATTTGTTTATAATTGATTTAGTCGAAAGAGGAGCGTCGATAACAAATCTTAATTAAACTAGTTGAAATAAACAGAGTTTTGCATTTAAAAAAGCACAGGAAAAACAAAAATTGATAAGAAGGCTTAATAGAAAATCATAACCTTATAAGATTTAACTTGATTTCCATTGTTAGCGTTCTCGAATTTTTTCAATTTTCACTAAAACTGTTTCTTTCGAATTTCTTAAAATGTGAGACATTTGTTCAGCCTTGAGCATAGCGGTTTTAAAATAATTTCTTAATGCTTCCTTGAAACCCGGCATTCCATACGCATAAATTAATGGATTTATTCCACAAGAAACATGCGATAAAACGACTGCAGACAACGTTAACCAAGTTGCTGACCGATATTCGTGGAAAAAAAATTCCACTGTATTGATAAGATATAAAGGATACCAACAAATCAAATAAGCTAGTACAATAATTAATAATATAGTGATAAGTTTACGACGACCACGTACACGTCGTTGCCGTTCACGTCCATTAAGAAAATGCGCAATATTACTCTCTTCTTCACGTATTTTACTATAAATACTCAAATAACAGTAAGTTATTATTATAGTAGGGATTATTATAGTGCCAAAAAATATCACATATACCAAATAACTATAATCAAGAACCTCGAGAAATTGACATTCCCCATGAAATTTCTTTTGACGTTCATCAAAATCGATAAACCAAAATATTGGTAGAATAGCAACAAGTAAACCAAAAACCCACACCGTACTTAGTAAAATCACGGTTCTTGTGAGACGACCAGACCGATTTTTCAGTAGTTTATATTTACAACAGATAATTATATATTTGTCGATAGCAATCGCTAACATATGAAATGTGGAAATCGTACATAAAACACATAAAATCAAATGAATGGCTAGGCAAGGGAAATATGATCGTGGTGCTCGAGTGAGCACGGAATATACAGTAAGTGGAATACCAATCGCTCCAGAAAGAAAATCAGTTAATGATAGTGAGAAAATATAGGTATTCGTTATTGTACGAACATCTTGTGATCGTATATAAACCCATAAAACAAGTAAATTATTTAATGAAATATAAACAGAAAGAAAAATCTCAGCAAAAGAATATATGATTATTAGTGAATCCATGTAGAAGAGGAAAATTTGCTGAATTGTCCTCTATTCCCGTTAGTCCACAAGGACATAAAAAGAGGAGTCAGTAAGTCGTTTAGATAAATTGATCATTGCAGCGAATGGCATGACAATCCAGAAACCATCAGCTATCCAGAAAACGAAAAATATACGCAGATTACTTGCATTGGAAGCAAAATAACTGGGCGTGCCTGGAATGATCGCAATTAATAATATTAAAGTTATAATAATAATCTTTTCATAAAAGATTTCTTATTTATCCCATTTATCTGTCATTTAATTCATTATATAACCATTCAGTTCATTCTATAATAAATCAACGAAAAATAAAAAGGACAAAAGCAACACTACTTTTTATTTTTTGCGCTAACTACTTCTAGCTATGCTCGCTCCGTTGGCTAGGCTTGTCGGGCTAGATAAATTTTCGCAAGAAGCCATATGGCGATAGAATTATAGATGAATTGCCATTACCATCAGAATTTTTGAAAGAAAGGTTCTGCATTAGAAATTAAACCCAAGTATTGGCCCCCAGTCGAAATCCTATTGAGCCATTCTATCTTCTCTTTCATTTTTAAAAATTTATATAATTTTAACTATTAACTAATTTTAAACCAATATCTAATAAAATCTTAGAAATCTTATTTTTCAAAATATATTTTTAAAATCAAATTTCATTTTTACGAATTTTTTTGTTTCCTTATATTTATAATAATATTTATTATAAATATATTCAAACAATATAAATATTACATATTCAAACAATTCATTCCAAATTTTTTAAATATTAAAAATTAAAAAGATTATGGTAATATAAGCAATATAAGCAAAAAATTTATAAAAGGATTTGAAAAATTCGCATTATTTAGACAAACTAAAATAAATGAAAATTGCATGAGAAGCAAAGAGAATTTTTTTTGTACGGTACATTTCAGATGAAAAAGGTACATTATATTGTGTACTCATGAAAGTAAAATTTCGCATGGTTTCTATTTACCAAATATTTATTCTGCAAATTTCATTAATATTTTTTTCGATTTGTTTTCTCTTATCAAATTAATAAGGCACATTATAGATTTCTTGAATGGCTTAAAATGCCACCATTTGATATCATATAAGAACATATTAGAGCATTTAAAAATGCACTTTTCATAATAGAATTCATCATTTCCAATTTGTCTGGTTCCATCAGCTATCAAGCCTACTTCTTCGTTAGAGGGTTGTTTGATAACAGAGGTATTAGCCATGCACTATCCAGAATAGCACAGTGAGCCATTCAATTCTCTATTTTGTGGTATTTTATAGGATTAAGAATATTCTAAAATTTTTTAAGTGAATGAGAAAATATAGATACAAATGATTACATGGGGGACTGAACCAATCAAATTAGCCTCAAATAACTTAGGAAACAGTATAGCAAAAGGAAGGATTCGATGAACGAATAGTATTTTTAAATGTGATTTATTTTAAAAATTTACATTTTATACAATAAAACAACGAAGAATTCCTAGGAAATTTTTCTTCAATATTTTCTCGAACAATTGTATTTTTCATTAAATGAAATCTATTTGTAAGTTTTAGAAATTTTTTTATACGTTTCCATGGGAGAAATGTTGAATTAAATTGCATAAAAGACGACTTTTTCTTAGCATAAATAATGAGAGAAAAATAAGATTGTAAGTAAGTAAATAAGTAAGTAAATTAAGGTAATAGCAAGTGCCTTAAGAAAAAAATCATTTCATAAGATTAATATTGTTGAAATAGCCTGAATGAAAGATGGCAAATGACTATATAAATTTCAAATCTAATTTAAATTTAAAATTGAAATTATTTGAATATTTGCTACTGTTACTAATTAATATTATAAATAAAAATTATTAGAGAAGTTAAGAAAATAAAAATCAATGAAAATAAAACAATAAATATATACAAAAAATGCAAAAGCAAAATAAATATGTATAAAATATAAAAAATGAAAAAAGTTTGGAGAAAATCAATGAGAAAATGATCACGGGGATTTGTAAATTTTTATACCTTTTCTTCATCAAAAAAATTATCCTTTAAATCATTAAAAACCATCTTTTAAGGTATGTTACCGTTATTAAATAGGGTGCCCATCATTAGGCTTGCTTCGCTGGTTTGTACCACTAGGCAAATTTTTGCTCACTTGGAGATAAAAATAGAGGTAAGTTAACCAGAATCACTCGAATTTTACCTTTGCTGGTAATAGAACCTCAAAATTATCCGAAATTCGAAATCAGAGCTCAGCGATTCGATTCCTAATTTAATAATTAAAAAAACATTGAACCAATCTGCAAATATTAAAAATTCAATCAATTAATTAATTTTAAATCTCATAGGAAATTATTGTATAGATTCACCGAAACATATTTCTGAGTATTTGAAATCATTTAAAAAAGGGTTGACAAATTTATGACGAAAAAATATGATTAAAAAATATGATAAAAAATATCTTCTAACTGGATTAACTAGTGATTTTACTACTTATCGCAACATCTAATCATTTGAAACATATTCGCAAACATGTCCATGGATATATATCCATGAAATAAGGAGGAAAGGGCATTAAATTCTATTAAATAATAAGCAAAATGTCAAAGAACGACGAAAACAAAGTAATGATGTGATCATAAGCAATTTTGTTAAAAGTTTGCAGCTGATAAGTTCGTTCTAGCACATTTATGAATAATAATAATCTGAATAGCATGCATACTCATGAAAATTTTAATAACAGTTGCAAACTTTTTCAAAAATATTGAATTCGATGTTCGTAGTATTCTAAAGCAATTTAATTCATCAATCTATAAGCAAGGTGACCTGGTGACATCTCACAAATATTTTAAAAAGTTTGCCCTCTCTAGTTTCTCTAGTATTTCCTCTATCATTAATTTACGATATTTTTACTAGCGTTAATCCGAAAATTTGGAAGCCTTTTAATATAATTCTTGTCCAATTACCTATAAGGTTAACTTTTGTTTACAATACACATAGAGGAACTAATTTGTGATTATTATTTATATAATTATAAATCTGGCAAAGAGAACAATCTGATATCCAATGAGATCAACATGATTTCTTCACAAAAAAAGTCCCCATTTCACAACAACTGGCTAATCTTTATGACTGATCAGAATCTGTTGACTGTAGATGACTTAAAATGGTTAATGGTTATAACTGCGTATCTCGATTTGCAATTATTTATTGCTATTTGGCCTAGAGTAAGATTTATTGACAACCATCAATAAATAATACGACACAGTGGGAAATTTGCATGAATGGATATAGGACTATCTAAACGATAGATGTATATTCCAAGTTGTACGTGAACGAATCATGAATGCCTCGAAGCAATTGCACTGGTATTTTATAATATCTATAAATATAACCAAATTCATCAAAATAGTTCCATTTATCTTTATACTGAAAAAAAAAAAACTATTATGATCATCATAGATCGGACAATTTTTTCACGTTAAAATTATTAAATGATTTAAACATAAATCAGCTTTTCCGCACAGAAATGCAATACATTGGTTATAAATCCGATCTTTCATCACTTTTATTAATGATAGCATTCACATGCGTGTCAACGATATTCAACAGATTTTGGTATAATTGTTGGCGGAAATCTTGATTTTGACTTTCATCGTAAAACAGTAATAGTAGAGAAGTCCTCTAGATATTCTTCTTCTAACAGCTCTCACCATTACTGGTTAGCCTGGCTAAAAGGATAAAACATTTCCAGACTGGGTGATCTGACGCCGACAGTAATAAAAGCCATTTCTTTTTCCATCGTCTAAGTCCATATATTGCTGATCCACCTATACGTTCAAAATCTTTCCTGACCATATCAGTCCAGGTCTTGAATAGCCCACTCCGCTTTTGGCGCCAACGATCACAGTGTTTATCAAGTAATGAAATATGAGTCAACTCCTGTGGTGAACGACGGAGAATGTGCCCTAACCAGCGAAGGCGACACTCGAACATATTAAAAAGATACAGAATAATTTGGGCTTCTTCCGTTAGCATTAAATGTACTAATCTTCCGTAAAAAACTATTGTCCTTTGTGCGAACGTGGTATCTGAGCGAGAGTGGATGTAATCATGTGTGATTTTATCCACTTGACGAACCCGTAAAATATATCTCAGACATGAGTGATCAAAGGCTACTATCTTTTTTTTCATTCTCATTGGCCATGCAGCCATATAGCAAGTTCGAGCGAATTGCAACTATATGGACGCGGATTCGCGTACTCTAAATATTAAATTAAATTTTTATGTTTTAATTATTCAAATAAAAGAGCATTTATTCGACCTCTAAAGTACCATATAGTATGTTATTCGCCAAGACATTGCAAATCCACCGCAAAGAAACTCATTGAAAGGCTACATAAATATTTTATACATCATCTCGACAGTTCCTAAATAGTACCATCAAGATTAAGTAATATTTAATATTAATAAATATAATAATATACACCATTTTACACCATTGAGTTAAAACTAGTTTGTTTCAAGTGCCATATCTACAGCCTCATATGAAGAGGGTAAAATCACTGAAGAATTGAGTTCATTAGCATTATTAACTATGAAATATTAACCAAGCAATAAAAAATAAATTAACTACGAAATAAGTTTACCTTATTATCTAAATGCTGCACAATTTTAAAAGAAAATTAAACAGAAATTATCTAGAAAATATTCGCAAAATGAAATGAACTAATAAAAGAGGGGGATGATAGGCTTTAAATTCCTTTAAAATTATTTATTGGAATAAATTATACTGATTAGAAAGCGCAGACGATGAAGTAATGTAAAGGGACGACTGGTCGATTTTTTGATTGTCGCCGGACAGAAATGTCGCCTAACGAAGAAAGCAAATAAGAATAGGATAGCTCAATGGGTTATTGCTTACCTTAGAGCACCGATGTTGCAGTTCTACTTCCAGCAGGAGTAAGCCTTCTATTCTCAAAAAATCCGGGTATTGATGATGACTCTCTGTACTTTTATCGACAAAGGATTTTATCTCCTGACATGTGCGACAGACCAACGAGTGAGGCTAACCACTAATGTTTCTCCCTTAAATTTACTATAGCTTTAACTAATTGGCTACAGAACCCGAGCAGAGATTTCCTTACCTCTGTTTTTTCATTACAATTACAATTTATTATTCTAAACTGTATTGGTTCGAAGCAAATTCTACAACAAATCCAATCACTACAGTGCTGATTACCAGATGAGAGGAAAAGAATCGCCTGTTATATTTAGATATATGTTGTCGAAAAGGCATTTATATGAATATTTAACTAATTATGCTAGCGACTAAAATTTCGAGTATATATCATTTTCCTCACAATTAATTCGTTCAAAAATGTTGTTTTCTTAAAATGCATTTGTGGTGTTACTTCGGAAATATTTTAAAAGGAAATATTTGTGATTGAACTATGAGACGAGAAAATTTAAGAGAAGTAATTTAATTAACAGAAAAGTTTGAGTCTAACTGAAGTAAATATATTTTAAAAATTATATGATTACTGTTCGTCAAGATTTGTTTCAAAAATGTGTGTTTTTACAAAATTGCTTCAATGTTTTTTTTCCGGAAGCGCTCACCATTTCTAATTAAATATGCTTTATTGGCTTGCTGAACCAGACAAATTTCGCAAAAGAGTCACCAGTAGAAATAGATATGAGTTGCCAGTACCAATATTGGAACTCCGAAATGAGAATAACAATCCACTGAAATATTTTTACCCTCTATTGTTTCATTAAGTTTATCACTCATTATTCGATCATGAAAAATATTTGAAAATATAAATATTTGAAAATTTGAAAAATATAATAAAATTAATGAAAATAAAAATTAGCCAAAATTTGAAAAATTTTCTTAATGTAAACAAATAATAAATATGGTGCTAAAATTAATTTAATTTCATTTTTTCACTGCAAATTAGTGAAAATTTCCAGAATAAATAAATCTTAAAATAAAGCATAAATTTTAAAGCCACAAACATTTGGGAAAATAATTTTCAAAGAAATAAGTGCAAATTTTTTTGTTGAAAATAATATTAATTAAAATTAATAAATATAATTTTGTATTTTAGAACTATCGTTTTCCTCAAATCTTTTTTGTTAAAATTATATAGCAAATTAAGAAACAGTAAAAATTTGTTCTCAGAGATGAAAAATATTACCTTTTGAGATCTATCAAAAGTAAAGAAATAACTCGAAAAATTTTGTTGAAGTTTGTTGATATTCAATTTTGCAAAGAAATTCGCAAATGTCATATATCTTTTTTTTTAGCAAAACTCTTTTCAAATTTTCATTATTTTAATTCAAAATTTATAAGGACTAAAAAAAAGGACTGCATATATGTATAGATATGGGATTTTCCTACCAAAGCTCTCTTATCGCCGTTCTTCAATGAAAAACCTATCACAAACCTATCACAAGTGAATTTTGATTGGCATTGGATCTTAACTTACAATGAATTGTACCATCCAAATGCGAAATGATGTGATCTGTTAGAAGACGAAGAAAAGTATTTTCCGAAAAAATATTCAAAAACTCAATATATCACTAATGATCCAATGATATTTTTCTCTCTTCAATAAGGCTAATTGAAAATTTCTATAATAGAAAAATTTATATTTACGCAACAAAAAATATGCTCATTGATCATGATAAGGAATTAACGAGGTTATAAAATTCAATGATAGGAAAGTCTGGTACTGAAAACCATAAATTTTATTTAAAGGCTATTCTTTTTCTAAGAGTGCTCATTGTTCGTCTGACCAAACGAATATCATACGAGTGAGTGGATTAGCATCATCTGGATTTTTTAAGGTTTATTTTTGCTGAACGGAGAAATTCAGCATCAATTCCAACCGATCAACCGAACAATCCACTGAGCCACTCTATACTTAAATTCTTTAATGTACTTTTGATGTGCCTGCAAAGTTTATTTGCAAAGCACATTTAATCGCGTTTTTTCATAAATATAACTATTAAAAAGCTCATATGCTTTGCATAAAGTAAAAAATAAAAATGAACTGTTTGTTGTTGATTGGGATAATAAAAAATAGGGGATTCAAAAAGGCAAAAAAGTTTTTATTTCATTCCCACAAATTAATGATATATTTGTCGATGAACATCTAATAAATATTGCAAAAAGCAAACTAATAATATTTAAAATGTTGTTAACATCTGAAGAAAAAAATTTTAAAATATGAAAATTTCATAAAGTAAAAATTGTGTTAAAATGCTCAAACTAATAAACTGCGGTGGAAGTTAATGTATGATGAAGCTACTATAAAATCTGGCTTGGATGGCTGTATGCACTACAAGAATGAGGTCTCTTTAGCAGAGTGTGAGTGAGTGAGTGAAATCATATATTAAAAATAGGATATTTGTCAAGTCATCTCTATATGAAAGTAATACCATATAATAGTCGAAATTCCATACCACTGTCTGAATTCATTGATTCTACTCGTATAGCTTTGTTCAAGGAAAAAATATTAAACGACCAACTTTACCAGAGGCCTCATTTATTCAATTATACATCCAATAATTGGTCCTTTTTTCCCTTTGCAAGAAATTAAGCAACAATTTTGCAGTTCTCGTAAATAACTTAGAAGGCACCAAGGATGACTAAAAAATATAAAAAACAATAATAAATTTATCATCATCACATATCTATGATACATTGTAAATAAATTAATACATTAATGAAGTGCGCAAATGCATTAATAATAAAAATTCGATTTCTAGTCAATAAAATTTTATTTTCTGTTAGTAGAGAAATGAAAGAATAAAAAAAAATTTTTTCTAGGAGAATTCCAATGGTTTGCAAAAATAGACAAATTTTTCCAGGGAATCACTTGGCCGCGAAAATACTCGATCAGCAGGCAATTTCAAGTTGCCAGTATCATTCGAAGCGACAAATCTAACTTTGCTTAGCTTCGGTGCTCTGAAATAATGGCAAATACTCACTAACGATTCATTCGACCATCTAAAAATCCAATGGAACCACTGTAATAGGACGGAATCAATGAAAGGCAAATGAAAAAAGGAAAACTATTTAAGTATTTTCAAGAGTAATTAGCATTTAATAATTCCATAAAATACTTCATTAAAAAATAAGTTTTTCTTTAGTTAAATTTATTAATTAAATAAGTTTTAGTTAAATAAGTTTTTTTTAGTTTAGTCTTTTTTTCTTTAGTTAAGAGAAATATTAAAGTGATTGAAAAATTCATTAATTCATCAAGTAAAGAAAATTTAGCAAAATTTAAAAAAAAATTTTTTTCAAATAAAAATTATTTCATATTTTTATAAATATTTTACATCATTTTTTCAATCATTTTATTTAATTGAAGCATTTATTTGCTTTCAAGAATAAACGTCTATAAATTTTTTTATATTTCAATTTCAAGTTTGAATTGAATGTCTATTGATAAGCAACAATGAACATTTATGAGAGAAGAAACAAAAGTTTTTTTCCATGAATACTAACGAGCTGGTTTTAGTATGATTAAGAGGGATTTTGAATGTGATAAATTGATCTAATGAAAAGACTGGCTTATGTTACTATTTTTAGATACAAAATTCACGCAGGATGTTGGAAATTAATCATATAGTCAGGAAAACCCATTAATGGTGCGAGTTGTACGAAATATATAACATCAATTATCAAAATTGTTTCAGCATTACCAAATAACAAAGAGAAATTGATATTTTAATTTATCCTTTATAATAGATTTTCCTCCCCTAAGAGCACCCATCCCTCTACAGTTCTGCTGATTCCATCAACTACCAGGATATAACTTTTGATTCAGCTTGGGAAAGAAACATAAATGGTTTCCTATTAACAGGTTTCATCCTTAATGGCAAATTTAATTTCATTAAAAAGCAAAAATCGAATCTAAACATTTGATCACCGTCGAAAGCTCCTTACCACTATTTTACAATTTTTTAACGAGCAATGACATTTATATTAACAACTTTTTTTAATTCTGAACCACGAATTTTTTTCAAATAAACGATATTAAATGAACGAAAACTGAAAGTAAAACCAAATATTTGCAAAAAAATCTATTGTCGATAACCAACATACTCATTAAATATTCAACATTCAATAAGAAAACAGGTGGCTTGGTGGTAGCAAGATTACCACCAAGAACTGAGGCTTGGGTTTGAATCCTCCGATGTTTCGTCTTGTCGCCTAATGGACAAAAACAGAGGGAGATTAAAATGGCTTAATATGTTGTTGCTCAATTCTACTCTCGGCAAGATTAAGCTCATAAAATTCAGGAAATCCAAAAATCTGGGTGGCTGACGATTTATCTGTAATATTATCTCCCTGGCATATTTGTCTAATCAGACAAGCCAGTGGAACGAGTCTAATTAGTAATGGCGAGTGCTTTTCAGAAAAAAGCTAACCAGGAGGCGTCTTAATGTACATGACCATGTAGAGAAGTGTCTTCCAAAATACGAATGCACTTGTCGTATAAGCCATCAATACTGTATGTTTTGATCTCTTGTGAGCCTTAATTAATTGATATATGCCATAATTAGTTAATTAGTTAATTAATTAATTAATATGTAACATAGTTGATCAATATGAAAAATCTTTCCTCTGATTTTCCTCTGGTTTTCAAATTAAAAAAATTTTGCGATGAATGCAAATTTTTGTTTATACTTAGTTTAGAACTCTTTTAGTTGTAATCTTAAAAAATTATTTCGTAGTTTATTTCTAATTTTAGTCAGTTCTGTGAAAGGCTGTTTATAAATTATTCTTTTTTCATAATAATGAAAATTCAGAAAAAAAGCCAAGTCCAATTATACGTTTAATTTTTAAACCAAAAATAAATATTTTCGTAATATTTCATTTGTATGAAGCAAAAAAGAACTTCCCTTGTGCAATAAATCAAAAATATAACAATTCGAAAATAATCGAAACGATTGAATTTTTTTTTGAAGAGCGCTCACCATTTCTGGCTTGGATCACTCCAGTGGCTCGTCGAACAAGATAAATTTTGTCAGGGAGCCTCCTTGTGACCCAGTCAACTGGAAATTATAAGTGGGTCACCACCACCACCCGGATTTTCGGAAGATAAGACTCCTTACTCCTGTGGGAGAAAATCATCGAGATTCGGAAGTAAAAGCAACAATTCACTGAGTCACCATTCTATACCCTTTTGGATTAACTTGAACAAACAAATTAATGAATTAATGATTTTTTAAAAATTTACAAACCATAATTAATGCAATAATGTTCATAAAAATCTCAATAATCATTACTCGACCTGTTGCCATCGTCACAATATCGTTAGCATTCGCATATCTTAAATCGACATCACTATAAATATTCCCTGAAATAATTATACGGTAAAAAATTAATAATTCGGCTCATGTTCGGCTACATTTTTACCGCTTAGAAACCGTGTGTTGATGGAAATAATGAAAGGGCTTTGGACAAGAACAACAAAAAAACTGAGATGGTCGAAATTTTGGCAAAACTAAAAAATTGCTCGATTATTACTCGATTGACTAGAAAGTGAAAAAAAATGGTCTATTTTGATCATCACAAGTTTAATTAGTTCTAATACTCGTATTTATGCAGTATTCATTATTTCTGATTTGATTCTCCGTCGTGCACCACAGAAGTTGACGCATATTTCATTATTTGCTAAATCGTGTGATGTTTGGGGGTCAAAAGCGAGGTGGGCCAATCAAGACCTGGACTGATAAGGTGAGAAAAGATTTGGAACGAATGGACCAGCAATATGTGGATTTAGACGATGGAAAAATGAATGGCTTCTATTACTGTCGACGATTGCATCAGACCGCGCCGCTTGGAAGTGTCTTACCCTCGTAGCCGTTGGAGCCATCCTAATTAGTAATATTAAAAGAAGAAGAAAGAAGAAGATTTGATAGCTGATTACTTAGGTGAACACAATTTTTTCGTTAAAGAATGGCTTAGGGATAGAGCTACACACGCTGATTATTGATTAGATCTAATTAATATGATAAATTAACAATGAAAATCGTTTTTTTGAAGAGAACTATGATGAATAATCTTATCTATAAATATCATTCAAAAAATGCTATGATTTTAAATGTTGAATCGATCAAGACAAATTTTAAAGAAAATGGCATATGGACAAGATGATCTGAACTAACATAATTCAAAAATATGCCCAAGTGAACCAGTGCGGAGAGTCATTGGTCGAAGCATCGTATATGCGACATCAACGATACATAAAACTGTTGATATGTTAAGCCAGATTCTAATCCACTGAGGTAAAATTCTGATCGAGCCCATTGTGTTCTATGATCTTCTGAAAAATTCATGTTCAATTCAGTATCTATTGATCTTAAAAAAATTTATTCATTAATTATTAGAAAATGATTTATCGTGTCAGATTTATCTGATTTATCACTGATTCCTGCATCTTTTGAGGACAAAAAATCGAATCTGAATGCTAATCCACCTATTTTTCTATCCATACATAATTATCCATAAGATATTAATTAACGTGGCAAATTCATAATAGCCAAACTAGAAAGCTGTTTAAAAAAATTTGGCCGCCAGAAAACTCTTATTTTTAAATGTCTTAAATATCGCTATCATCAAGTCACTCTCTAGCGAAATGGAATGGCCATCTAAATATTTATATTTATCCTAGTAATCAGTGGAGCTATGCAAAGCGAAATAGTCTGTGACTCAGCAAAGAATTTCACGGTGAAAAATAAGGTCCTTTGAAGAATATTTGTGAAAAAATCCAAATTCTTAGATTCTTGAATACCTAGTGAACATTGCCAGAAATGTAGTTCAAAGCGATAAAACACTTAAACCTAGGTTGCAAATTGTTTACAAAATTAATATTTGCTGTGACTTTGTATCTTGACACTGATTTTTAGGTTTTTAGGTTTTTGTTTGTATATTTGATTTCGATTTTCTATAATATCCTTCGCATATGGTTTTGATTCTCTCGCGCTGAATCGCGCTATATAAGAAAAAGAATTCAGTAGCTGGAGAACTATTAACGGCGTATTTTAACTGTCATTCAGTTATATTTTGAATGAGCTCCTGAGGATCCTCTCAGTATTCAACAAAATGTTTCCATTTCTCATCAGTTTTTTTTCCAGTGTATTTTTACATAATTTGTTGGCGAAATTAATTCTATTTTTCACCAATTTTGCGACAAAAACATACGCAAATAAAGTTATATAATGAAATATGAAAATATTCTCGAGAAATCCTTGTTATTTCTGAGCACCAATATGCTGGGGTTCAATTTCCAGCAGAAGTAGGTCTTTCAAAAATCCTGGTAAAACGGACCACCCGCCTAGTTTTCTATTGCGAGTTCATCCCTTGAAAACCTATCTGATCTGACAGAACCTGTAGAACGACCATAAATATAATAAATATAATAACATAAATATAATAACAACGAATTTTTGAGAATAATAAGCAAAACGGACGAAATAAATGATGAAATTGCGAAAGAGCGTAAAGTTACTTAGAAAAAGATATATAATTTAGGCAAGTTATAATCTACGATACTTTGCTTAAATCCATTTTACGATAGCAAAAGGAGAGCGAAAATTCGAGTCTGATGTTGGCTTAGGCTTAGGCTATCGTATTGCATACAAATTCGCCTGATTCAGTGCACTCTGCGTTACCTTCTAAATAGATTCGCAAACCAAATTAGCATAACCAAATTAATGGAAAAATTATTTTGGCCACAGTTTAGAAACGAAAAATAAAAATAATACAATAAAAATAAAATTAGAAACGAAAAATGAATAAAATGTCCAAAAATAGCCTTCAGCCATATAAAACGATTTCAACGGACAATTTACGAATGATCATAACAACATTTATAGATTATTTATAACAATAAGGGCAGCCAAAGATAGCCAAATGATCGTCTCAAATATTAAGGAGAAGAAGTGGTCAACGGTCTTCACAGGAACAAAGCTTTCATCGAACAATCGGAATGATAAATTTCTTTCTTATCGTACTAGCCAACTATGCAAGCCAAACCAAGATAATTGGTACTAATACACTATTCCCTTATTTACCCACCACAAATATCACCACAAAGTGGTGTATCAAGAAATTTCAAGCTATTTCTACTCGCTTTTTTTATGAATTATATAGTCATAATTTTTAATGAAAATTTAATACAGTTCATATTCTACCTTCTACCGAGAAACAACGATGCTATTTTTCAATGAAATGCCAAAACTAAAATTCCAAGAAATACTACGACCTTAAATTGATCTGTACTAAAAGGTTAAATTGAAATTACACTATTTTTTCCACTGTGATATATCAGTAAAGAAGTAAATTAAGGGCAAACATGAGAAAAATAATTGATCAGAGAAATCAAACTTAGTTTAACAAATTGCACTTGCAATAACGATTTGCCTTTGGCCTTTCAAGGCCTTTGAACTAGGTCAGTTCATCTCATCAGTGTAGTGTTGTTAATGTTGCTAATACTAAATCATCAATTTCGTATCATGTACCCACAAAGTTTCCTTAAACCTGAGAATTTCATTAAATAATTTAGAATATAATTTTATATTTCCTTTAAATTTCGGTCCATTTATCTCTACTAGTAGTTAATTGTAACATTATTCAACTAACTCTGAAAAAACAATCCAATCCAATTTTTACTATTTTTAAATCTGTCGTAACAATATATCAGAGAGGAATACCTATCACTTTGATGTTCATTTTCATATTCGTTTAGGCAAAGAAACCTCAATAAAAAATTTTTGCACAGTTAGTTGCAGTGAAAATTTTACGTTATAGGATTGTTTTTTTCTCTTCTATTAGTACGAAGCCTTCATAAACGATATCATTGCGAGCTATTTTAAGCCGACAGAATCATAAAATCAGAATCATTACCTCGAATAGTCGAATGAATATAGATAAAGATTATTATGGCTTTTGATGCGTAGAAAAACATACTAATCAAAATTAATTTCCACAAAAGAATCCAAAAAATATGATTATGACGATCCTAAAGATCTTTCAGAGGCAATAGCCAACAATTTTTCCGAAGTGTTGTTTTGCTTATGCACAGCACTTTCCTCTTGCATTTCATTAATTTTTTCCTTAAAAAAACCGGCTGATGGAGCCGTTTGGAAGCCGTTTATATTTCTCTCTCTGGCAAATTTGCACCATTGTAACAATTAACGTGACGAGAAATGACGATTAATTAATAACACCCAACTAATCCAATCACATAAAAAATCAGATATTTTAATTTAACAACAATTTTTTTAAATTTTATGGTGATTTATGGTGACTTTTTCTTTTATAATAATGAATAAAATATATTTTTTTAGATCAAAAATTCATTTAGAAAAATACAATTGATTTATTGGACTAATTTTATTTTTAACTCTTTTTCTGCAAATTTTTTTTTCAATCTTACAAATATTTCCACTAATTCATTTTAAATAGGTCGCAAATTTTTTTTTTTACGCATCAATATATTTCTTTAGGTTTTTCTTTTCATTCCCAATAAAATGTTATTTAAATGGTTTTTTTTCAGCACCAACTTTCTTGGATAATTTTGATGCATTTTAGAATTTCTTTCGAATAGTTCATTTATCATTTCTGGTTAGATTTTAGACGGAATAGTTTACTTGCTCATCGGTTCAAATTTTATGGTGGAGCCATTTAATGGTAGAAATATAGATGAATCGTAAAAGTTGCAGGATTTTAAAAAAAGAGAGTGCAGAGTTCTTAAAAGCATAACCTTTTAAGTCGAAGCTTTTTTCCATTTTTCTTTTCAAGCCTTTTTTATATTTCGTTTTTTATTTCAAAAATATATAGATTTTTAAAAAGATTTCTAGAATAGAGAGCCTTTTTTTGTTTCTTAAAAAAGTCTTAGGAAAACGAACAATCAAATTTTGCAACTTTTGGATTTCTTTTAGACTGAATTATATTTTAAGTTGGTGAGGAGATAAAATTTTAAGGAAAATCTTAGAATGAACTAAATTTGCTAACTATTAAATTGCATCAAAGTTTATGCCTATAAAGCAAGGTTAAGTAAATGATAGCGCTTAACTTTTCTATTTAGGCTCGCTCGATTGGCTATGATGAAAAATTTTTGTTTGGAAAGGAATTCACTTAGTAATAGCAATTTGTAGATGGGTCACCAGCTCGAATATTTTAACAATAAATTTAATACTGCCAGATGCGTTGTTCAAATTTTCAAAACTAAATTTCTCAAACTATTATTTAACCATTCGGCTATAATATACCTCCTTATATCTATAAATATTGTGCAATATTCGAAAAACCTTATTCATTTTTTTTAGACTTTCTGCAAGAAAATTTTAAAAATATATTCAAATTTTTGAAAATATTAGTATGAAAATATTAGAAAAAAAATTAAATTCTTGCTTTCTAATTTTTTTCTAAAATAATTTTACTGATCGGTTTATCTGTGAAAACTTCTGAAATAAATATTTGGCTCCCCTAAAATCATTTTATCAAATAATTTACATCGTTTAGGTCATCAAATCTCGCGATTTATTAATTAACTTATGGTGCCAAACTTGTTAACTTTCATTATAATTTGTTTAGTCGGTTTTCTTATTGATCAGTGGACCATTAGTTGTTGTTTTTTCGCTACCAATTATTGTAATTTTTTTTCTTTCCTAATTCCGGTTATTTCTATGAGAAAGATTTCTTTTATCGTCGAATAAAATATGATAATCACATTAAAAATTATTATTTAAAAATTATTATTACTTTTCAAAATTCCACTAAGAGGAGACGTGTTTACAATTTTTGGAATTAATAAATTAGAGTTCATGGCACGATCGTTTGTTGATGGTACCTGATTTATTGTCAATTCTATTTTATTAACTTAAATCATAATAAAAAGCTAAAAAGCTTTTATCATTTTTCTTATCATTCTTGAATGAAGAATATTGGATTAAATAAAATATAATGATAAACCATTTCTTTAAGAAATAATAATCATTTAAAACTCATAAGAGCGTTTGCATGGAAATCTTGGAAAGTCTTATTTCACCTTCACTGCAATTTTATATACTAGTTGCACCACCATTAGTGAATGTTAGTCGAACGCAGAATCGGCGGTATAAACTGATAAATGATAATAACCCACCGAGCCATTCTACCTGATTCTTTCTTAGCTTAATTCATATTTTTGAATTATTGCAGGATGTATTATCGAATGTGCATCATTGGCGGTGGTGGCTATTTTGGTCAACATATAGCCAAAGAATTGCAAAATTTTGGCCATCATACTGTTCTACTCGATATCAAATTTGTTTATGTACCGTATTTGAAGTTAGATGAATCACTAACGACTAGAATAGAAGTAAATTCAGAATTCAGAAACATTTGTAGTTTTCTTCCAATCATCGATTCATTATTGTCTTTTTTGCATATTAACATTGGATTTAATCTTTTTTAGGGGTCAATGCTGGATCGAAGTGTGCTTGACGCAGCTTTACGCGGATGCCAAGCGTGTTTTCATATAGCAGCCTATGGGATGAATGGAGGTGCTTCGGTATATAACATTCTACATAGACTGCAAATATTTCTGAAATATAGATTAGAAAAATTTCACTTTCCTATCCGTTTACTATCAATAAAATTAATAAAATTGATGGGTTTTAGTGAAATTTCACTAAATACATCAGTGAAAATTACTATTTCTTCATTAAGCCTTCATCATTTCTGGTTTGGTTAATTCCATTAAATTCTCTTCGGCAAGAATCTCGGAATTAGAATGAAGTGGGTTATTAATTAGCATTCATTAACATTCAGATAAGCTTACTTGAATTAATGGGCTGGAAGTGTGATTCTTGGCTTCGGTCAAAGCAGAGTCACTGTAATGTGAAAGCTAATGAAATCCGCTCTTCGAAATATTTTGTTTCATTTCGCATAGTTTTCTCTCGGAGCCAAAATTAGTTTTGGATGAGAAATATGGTACAATTTAAACCAAATAAGCCAAACTCAAATCAAAATTGCTAATGACCGTACCAAGTAATAATGAGATAGGTTTTGCATTTATTCAGTAAATTTATTTCGTCATCGACTTTGATGAATAATATTAAAAAAGTTTAGCTTGAGAAAGATAAAGTATATCATATAAACGTGGATGGGACGAAACTCGTTTTGGAACGCTGTAAGGAAAATAAGGTGGAACGAGTGGTTTTTGCTAGTTCTGTCGCTATTCTTTTTACGAATAAAGAGTTGCATTTTGTCGATGAATCCATGCCTTATCCTCATCCATCGCAAGTAAACAATTTCTTCAAATTCGATCAGATTTTTCAGAATTTTAGAATTTTTTGATTTCTATGTTTTCACTAAATTTTTTCACATTTATGCCATTCCTCTGAGAGCACCCGCCATTTCAGACACCACTGATCCCTTTGTCAGAGCCTTAATTGGAGGGCGATAAGGTGGATAGAGATGGATTTCCATAAAAACATACAGATTTTGCTTTAAATGATACTACTGGCTTGTCCTTGAGTCGAAACCGTTCGACCATATTTATATTAATCAAATTTACATTTCTTGTAAATAAACATTCAATATTACGATTTGGAAGATAGTCATTGCTATACATGCATGGCTTACAGTACTATTCTCATTATTCTGCTTCAAAAGCAATCGCTGAAAAGATGGTCTTATCCAGTAATTCAAATTCTTTACGAACTTGTGCATTGCGCCTTCGAGGAATCTATGGGCCCGGTGAGCCACGTTCAGTCGAAAGAGCTGTTGTAAGTATAAATTTAAGAATGAAGGAGGAATGAACCAACTTTTCGTCAAATTCCTAGTTTCTTGCTGAATTCATTATTTTTCTCAGTGATATGGTTTAAATAAATTCTTTTTTTCTCAGAGCGCTCATTATGTCGAATAGGACAAATTTTATCAATTTTGCGATTAAATAATGCAAACCTCTCTTCAGTAAAATATTATCTCTAATCTTTCGGCTTTTAATTTCAGGATCTCTGCTCGCGCGGTTTCCTTATCGCCACATTTGATCGAACAAAAGGCGGATGCTTAACTCAATACAGTGGAGTTCATAATAGTGCAAGCGTATTATTTTCAAGATCTTACTTAATATATAAGCTAAAATTATATGTGTGACCAAATTTATTGGATGATTTATCAGTAATTGTAATGGTTTTATTCATTCTTCACTTATTTTTTCATGTTTTCACTGTGGGTTTAAAATTTCGAGAAAAGGAATAAGAATATGGCTTTATGACAATATAAATATTTTCTTTTTCTAAAAGCTTTTTCTCATTTTCTAAGAACACTCACCATTTCTGGTTATGCTCACTCCATGCTGGATTGTCAGAGAAATTTTGTGGAATTTTGTCATTTGGCAATAGAACTACAAATGGGGCATCACCGGCATTTTTGAAAGGTTTACTTCTGCCGAATGTAGAACAACCCAAACATCTTAACACTAAAATGCTGAGAGCAACAACTATTTTCCTCACAACATGCCTCACAAAATATATATTATAAATATATATCATATATATATATATATATATATATTTTTGGATATTTAGGCGATGAGATTAGCTGAAGAGGCTTTGCGGTCAGGCCGAGCTGCTGGTAAAGCTTACAATATAGTAGACGATGGGCCTGCAGTTGGAGCTCATTCTTTCTGGAATCCACTCATTGAAGGCTATTTTCATCTCATCATTTTTTTTACTTGGATTTATTATTTTTTCAAATATTTTCAAATAATACAATAATCAAAAAAAAATAAAGTAAACCATTAGCACAAATAAATTATTAAAGAAATTTGTAATTTTTTTAATTTTTATTAATTAAAAAAAAAAGTGGATTTGGGGAGTAAAAATGAATGTAACGTTAAATTTTAATAGAACTCATCTAAAATTCAAAATTTAAAAATTGGTAAAATTTCAGCACTTGGAAAGAAGTTACCATCTTATAAGTTGCCATATGCTATAGTGTTAGCATTTGCAATATTATCTGAACAACTTTACTTGTGGTTTGGCATTGAACCATTTTTTACTCAATTGGAAGTAAATATATCGTCCATAACTAATACGTATTCAATTGAACGAGCCAAGAAAGATTTAGGTTATAAGCCAATCAACAATCACGATCTTACATCAACCATTGAATACTATAAAAAATTAAAAGAAAAAAAGAAAAATTCACCGACATCGATTACTGATAATAATAAGATAATCCTGCTTGTATCACTTTTTTTTATCATATTATTCTGGCTTATCAATAAATGGATGTAATTTTCCTTGCAAGAATTTCAACTTTTAAAATTTTTCTTGTTAAAATATAACCTTTTGATGGCCCTTATTATTAATTTTAGTGCAAAAATTTTAAGTGAAATGATTTTATAGAAAAATTTGAAAAGAATTATTTGAACAACAAATAAAATAATGTATAAAAAGTTTAGAAAAGATGAAGTTATCTTATATTTATTTAATTTTAATAATTTTCTCATCAACCTTTTTCTCTTTAAAAACTCTACTGTAAATTCATTTCCGGGTAATACTGGATCTATATTTCTCATCTATATTTCCATTGTCAAGCAGGCTGCCTGAAATCCCTATGTTCTACAAGGCAGCGCGATTTGCCTAACCAGATATGGTGAGAAATTCATTTAAAAAAGAAAAAGAGCATTGGACTCTCGTATATTGCATATATTGTTGCATATACTGCAGATTCGAGTCTTGCTAGAGCTTATCGTAACAAAAAAATTTTTTTGCGATAACCTAAAACAGGAAAGAAGTAATTTTTTAAGTTATTTTTACGTACTTTAATTTATGTACTTATGTCATTTATTTTTTATATATTAGTTACATTTTGCGTGAAAAAATTTTAATCTTATGGCTCTGATATTTGATTTTGCAAAAATAAGAAATGTTAAGGATGAAACTGGAATGAAACTAATTATAATCCCCTTTATGAAGGGTAGGATAATCGAATAGCATATTAGGTCGACAAAGATTAATCATCAATATTTCGGCTAATACATTAACAAGCCTGCCATTAAAATTGAAATCCAGCTGGTGCTGGCGGTGCATATTTCTATGGCCAACTGGGCCAGCTTAATAGTGTCTACACTGAAGCCACCAGAATCAGACATGCCGAGTTCTTCCAAAAAATTTGAGTGCAATTAGAAGGCGAAGATGGCTCCTTTAATCATTAATTTCATAAGCCTTTTTATCTATAAATTCTTAATAACAGCGTTGTATATTTCGAAATTCTTGAGTTTCTCACAATTTCTCCGTAAAAGTTTGCCTTATAGAGAGAAGAGAATGGTAGTCGTTATATGTGAATAAATAACTTTTGTCAATAACTTGTACCAATGATTAATAATTCGGTGCTTCCTTCTTATAACTGTGATCTATTATATTTGAATTGATCTCATTTGATAGTAAATAAATAAATTTTCATTCTAAAGCGCGAATTTATTGACATATATGGAATAAGATTTATTTTCAACATCTGATTTCGAACTCATTCGGTTGGGAAATTCTTCGATGAATTTATGTGTCGTTATTTGTTTTTTCTCTTTCGGTAATAGTTTTTATTAATTATTTATTCTCTTTTGGGGTTGGAATGGCACAGTGGATTATCATTTCGGAGCATCGATGATGAGTTATTTTCCCGGAAGGAGATCTTTCTTTCAAAAATTGGGTTACACTGGCGATACGATACATCTATGTTTCTATTGCCAAGTGTCTTCGTGGCAAGATTTCTCTAGCACAACGGACCAGTCGAGCGAGCTAATCAGAAACTCTGAGAAAAACAAAAAAAATTCATCATTTCAAATTTCGTTGAATTTAATTAAGCAAAATTTTTGAATTAGTATATTTTATTTCTTTAGAATAAAGGAATTTCTTGCGACAATTGTTCAAAAGGTGCAAAATGTGGGCAGAATATATTCATTGGTTTTTGTCACATTTAAATTTCGATCAGTTAGTAAATTTTTCAGCATTTGGATGCCAGATAGATGCACCACAGCAGGGCGTATTTCAAAAACAAGCAGATGATAATTTTTTTATCATAAATTCTAGGAAAGTACAAGGACAATTCGTTTATGATAAGGTGAAGAAATTATATTTAATGATTATCACTATGCTTAATTAGTGAAAACTGTGGTTGAGTAGTTGAAATCTATAACTGAGTAGTAGAATGAAAAATTCGCGATCTGCTCCCATATTTCATCAATAGTTTTGTGGAAGCAATTCATGCGGTATCTTAGCACCACTAAATTTAATTTCTTATCGAAAATTGTAAACTGAATTGAGAATTTCATGCGAAAACTAAAAATGCAGGTAATCATCACGTCCACATCGATTTCATCATGGGGAAATTGCTATGAACGAGTCAACGATTCATATATATTTGGAATGAAGTATAACTAAAATTTTAAAAACTAATTAGCAAAAACTTGTACGCAAAAAACGACATACAGTACTCTTTTGATAATAGTAATACTCTCTTGTTTTCGAAAAACTTTAATAAAACAATTCTTCTTCTTTAGCAGATAGCACTATTAACCTGGTCCACTGGCAACTAAGATAAGACGTTTATAAGCATTTCGACCCAATGTAATTGAAGATAATCCGCCCAAGGCATATTTCTGGGCTGTTCTCCTCTGATTGTACCAGTCCAAGCTGTTTTTGGTCCTCACTTTTGAAGACCATCTGTCATAGGGTTTAGCAAGAGAAAGAAGTGCATTAATTCCTGATGTAGTTGCATAAAGTTATATGATCAGATACCATCAGTTCGATCTTCCTTATGTTTTATATGTTTAGCGCACTACAGTCATATTTACGATCATACAACACGTAACCTTCTGAAACAAATTATGTATTTTTCTTGCTCCCTTTTTTTACACATCTTAATGTATTTCCAAATTAAAAGTGAGCGATATTTGACCGAAGAAAGCGAAAATTCCAAAATTCATATTTAATAACTTAAAGGAAATTTGGGAAATCACTCTGTTTTCGTTGCATAACACTGGTGCAACGCTCGGCCAATATAATTCAAGCTGCACATCAAATTGGTAAAATTTTCGTTTCTTTTTCAAATTTTCATTTTATTGTCGTCCAATTTATAATTTAGGGTAATTTAGGAAATCCTTGCAAGAATTCGTTTAGTGAAGCCAAGGAAACATGTTTTGATTCATCGATTATTACATATACAGAAGGAACGTTCCTCTACAGTAAGCAAATTTTTCTTATCAAACTATTTAAAAATCGAATAAGTCGACAGTCGACAACTTTCTCTTTTAACAAACTCGTAATAAATTCTTAAAATTCAAAGCAAAATTTTGATTATTGCAAATATAACTGATTCGATTTATGTATTAGTTCATATATTAAGGATTAGAAAATGCTGAATATGCGAGTTGTGGTTTCGATGGTATTCATACGATAGCGATTGATCATGCAGGAATTAATGTGAAATGCAACGAAGCAACATCTACAGTTAGTTCCTCTGTTAAGCTACAAGCACCGATAATAACTATTCCAATAATTTTTATTCGAGCTTACAATTTGCTAGAAAAGCAAAAGAAACAACAGGTTCAACCAATATCGCAAATTAGGTAAACATATGGTTTTGAATAAGGAAAATGCAACAAGTACCATTCACTTCTTCAATTTCTCGTTAGGTGACCACTAGAGACAAGAAATAATGCGAACTATTAGAAGAAAAGGAGGAAGGCAGTATTCGATATATTTTTATTTAACTTTCTTAATCCTGTATTCAGGTTGAATAAAGACCAACACATCCATCTAGGTAGGTTTCTCAACGTTTATAACATATTTTAAGACTATCGTCCTCTCATTTAATTTGGTTTTAATTTTTTTCCCTCTTCATTCCCTTTTGCTTCTTATTTTTTTCCTACTAAGCAATAAGATTCTTATTGAAAAAGTTGCTATATATATTATTCATTTGGCATAATTTTTTTATAAAATCTCTCAAATTTTACCATTTATTACCCACATTTATACTCATATGGCCTTAATTTGCCCAATTTTAGGTAAATAATTGTGAAGAATCGTCGCAGCTGCATTTCGAATTTCGTAATTGTACATTTCCTGATATCGGTGAGAAATTTTTAACGATTTGCTGCACCATTTTTAAAAAGGATATCATATATCTAATTATCTTTTGGATCTTTAGAAGTCTTTATTTCTCATCTCTGAAACCGATTAGAATAGTATCAGACCATTTCATTACCATTAATGCAATCAGTCAGCATTTAAGGTTTCTTTTTAAAAAAAAAATTTTATTTTGGATATCAATTTGTCATGTATTGGTTCGTGGAATGGCGAAGAAAATGAAAAATATATTGCCGTCGAAAATGATGCAAATGGACAGATTCGATGCGGTGTAAGTTCAACTTTCTCGAAATATATTTTCGTTATATATTCTCATATGAAATCGTTATATATTTTCATGAAAATAAAACCGTTTGTTTTTCTGGCAAAATATTCCAACCAACTGAGAATGGAACTTTTTTGAATTATAGATGGTGAAGATCTTGCAAAATGAAGAAATTGAACTACAACTTTCGTACGATTCAGCTTGCAATTCGTTATCACCTGAAGGCACAATTTTAGCTGAAACTTTTCGGCTAAAACAAAAAAGTAAGATTAAAAGTAAGGTTAAAAATAAGAGAATTGCCAATAAACTTTTTCTCGCCTGGTTGAATTTACTCTTTAAAAGAAAAAACTTTCCACATCTCGTTGCGTAATCAAGAAAATTTCCGAGAAATGCAAAAAAATAAATCTCTTCGAAATCTCTTTGTTAATAAATCTCTTCGAAATGGTATAAGTATTTTTTTATTAGGAATGGACCACGAAAGTGTAGGCAAATGTTATTTTCCCGAATGGTTGATCGGGGAATATGATTCGCTTCAAATCACTCAACGATCACTAATTTATTCGCCGAATATCGCTGATTCTATCCCTACGATCTCGCATTGCTTTAATATTGATGAACATGGAATTGTCGTATTTTCCGAATCTCTATGGTATATTATTCTGTAGAAATTTGAATATTAGTATTATGCATATATACGCATATATTACTAATAATACCATTCGGCTAAAATTATTGACAAGTGTCTATAATTACTTACCAAAACAAGAGATTCTCCAAATGTTTAATATTTGTCACAAGTTGAAATCAATTGAAGAGCATTAACATTCGCTACTTTTTTTGGATCCTGGCACTATCATAATCTCGTATTTTGAATTCATTTCAGTGGAAATGCGATTGGCTATCACTGTTTATGGTTTCGCGATAGGAGTGATTATGTTTTAGAATTCAAAACAAGCGATAAACAAGACACCAATGATGGTACCATTTGTAGGTTGGTTTTTGTAGTTTTATAGACCGATATTAAAAGCTGAAAGCTTAAAATAATTCGCAATGATCCAATCAGTTCAATGAAAGCAATTTCATATTTTTGTTTTGTCATTTTAACCAAGTAAATGACATTTATCAAATTTATATTTTGCAGTGAGTCTATTGAAGATTTTTAAAAAATTTTTATATATTTGTAAAAAATTCTTAAGGAATGAAAGAGCTTTCGAATTTTCACCTTGGGTAGTAATAACTACGAAGGACCCAGATTCTGCACCTTGTGGTTATGAAGGCCAATTCACAACACCAAAGTTATATGAAGATTTTGGTTGTTACAATATGATCATCGATTGTTCTAAAAATCATTCGCTTAAAATTATTGCAATGGATTGTCAAACTCGGACAATATTGGAAAGTAACAGTTAATATATTATCTAAAAAACTGAAAGTGTTATCATCAGTTATGCTTTTAAAGATGAAAAGTTGGATTATTTTCCTTTAAAGGGAGTCGCCATTTCTTAAGCATAATCCGCTGCATTGTCAGGACCAAGAAAATTTTATCACGGAGTCGTTTAGCTAAAGAGGTAAGTGGATCTCAAGCACGCATGGACCCTTTACTCTTGTCAAGAGTAAATCCTTAGCATCGGCGCTCCGAAATAAGAGCAACAACCGTTGGTGCACTCCATATTTCCTTAAAATAATTTAAAGAATGTCTATGAATTTTTGCCTAATTTCGTTCTTGTTAACTGGTTAACCATATGTCTTAATTAATTTTTATTTTTCCATATAAACTCAATTCTAAAATTCCTGTATTTTCTAATGCGAGAAAGATTAAATTTTAAGATGTCGTCCTAAAAACTTTAATTTCCACGTATTCTTTGGTTCGCACACATAAAATTTGAAATAAATATTTCCAATGATTTGAAGTTAACAACCTTAAAATCCAAAATCCTTAAAATCTATAGCTATATTTAAAATCTATATTTTTCATATTAGTAATTTCACATAATTTGAATTGCACCAACAAATTTTAATTTAAGAGAGAAATTTTAATTTGAGAGAGAATTTCAGCTCGTGAATATAAATGTCTTGCTTCATGGAAGGAGGACGATATCACATTCATTTATACAAAATTGGCTTTTATGCAGACAAAGTTTTGTATTGTAAGTTGTGATAATAGTTGATGATAAGAACAACAATCACTATCTTTATCAAATTCTTTTTTTTTGCGGTTACCAAGGATATTTAGTCTTTGGTATTTTAGACGAACAAAATTTAAAGCTATTGTGAAGAAACATCCTTCGACGAATCTAATATAATTTCCTTTTATTTTTTGAGATAATCAGAGACGATCACACCAATTGGTTTTTCGTAACTTTAATGGCTAATCAGTGTCAGCGAGGATTTAATTTCACCGAAAACGCAAATAAAACAATTGTTCTTGAACAGAAAGGTACTTAAATAATGAATAAAAGGATAATGAATAAACTACCCTGGTTCACCAAGTACCATTGGCTCGGTTCCACTATTCATGCTTCATTTTTAGCTTATAATAATAAATATTTATATGATACTCAGCACATTGTAGATGACTGCACAAATGGAAAAGCCAATAACATTTTGAAAAATCCGATGGGTTCTAAAAGCGAATTACAAGTCGCATCAACAAAATTATCTCCACGAGTTTTCCAGCAATATTCCTGGATTGAAGACGTCTCTGCCAAAGGATGTTTAAATTCATTTTTAATTACGTCTAACCTCGCCTTTCTTCTTGTTTTAATTTATTAATTTTAAAAATATTATATATATATGTATTCAAAATTCTCGTGAAACTCATTGGTCATTAAAATAAAATATTAACGGATTCATAGTTCCTTACTACATCCAAATTAAAATCCATAGATTTAACCACCTCAGGACGATATTATTAGTATTCAGCCGAAGATGGATACAATCAGGCGAAACTGTGCTGGCGTGTAAGAATGGCCAGACACAGGTCCTGGTACCTTCCATCCTCAGCAGGCACATTTCCGCTGTGTAGCACAGGATTAGACATGCTATAGCGAACTTTCGTCTCAAATCCAGTTTCGTTATGACTGTGATCCTGAAAGGACTTCGCCAGATCTCTAGCTGTAGCCATCCGAATTGGAATTTCCTTTTAGTGCAGAAATGGATCCAAAATAACAAAAATTTCTTCGATAGGTGACAATTACAACACAATAGTTTTCCAGCATTACCCATATCTAGGAGATATTCAAATAAACATTCAACCTGTCCATATATTCAATTAACTTGAATATATTTCATAAAAAATAGTTCTATTTTTTTCCTCGTCAATAGTATTCGCATATAATTTTCTAAATTTTCTTTTTCAAAAGCAAGAGCAATAAATAAAAATACTAAATAAATTTCCAAGCGATTAAATGAAACGTAGAAGAAAACCATCTAAATGCAAGAATAGCCAAAATCCATTAAAACCATAATAAGTGCTCCATCTATATAAATTTGATTTTTATATTTAAATGATAGGAAAATCAAAATATTATTTCATTACTTTTTTCGAATAAAAAATTTCAAAATTTTATCAATTTTTTGAAAAAAGGGTAAATATAAAAAATGGCTATGAATGCATTACTTATTATTAACTTAAATATCTGGAAATATAACCCTAATCAACAAAATGATAAATGAATACTTGAAATGATAACTAATCAAACACACAGAACAAAAACTTTTCAAAACATCATCTGAAACAATATCACCTACAACAAAATATTAACAAAAATATTAAAAATAGAAGAATAAATAAAAATTGAAATTTTATATTATCGTCAATATTCACCGTTATTTCGAGTAACATAACGCAATTTATTTCTGAATTTTTTCGGATTAACACCGTAAGCACGAAGTCTTTCGTCACCAATTTCTTGCAAACCATTAATTACTGATATTTTTCTATTCTTTTTTCTCCGCCTCAGTTTATGTGATGATACGCCATTTGTGATTGTCTAAAAATTTTGCATTTTAGAAAATATGAGATTTTAATTGAAATGAATGAGAAAATAAAATCGTTTACCACTGAATAATGATAAAACCACGAATGTTGAAAAAACAACAATCAAAGAAAGAAAGAATAAATGCTTAAAGGATACAGATCTTTCGATAAATTAAATAAAAAAACGTCATACCAATTGTTTATTAGAGCCAAAATTGGTTGAATTTTCGTATTCACCACTTTTATGTGATTTTTGGATCTTTGATTCCTCTTCATTGCTAGCCTTTGATAATTCTTGCACCATTTTATGGCTATCAAATTGTTGGTTCTGCCTTAATTTTTCGCGGCGTTTCTTATTTTTTGACAATTTTTCATTGCCATTACTCGATACTTGAGTGATTTTTTTAACTCCATCCTTCTGTCGATTTTCATTCTCATTTAATTTTTTGAGTGATTTTTTTCTGAAACATAATATATTATTTCATTTTTAGAACAAGCAAACTAAAGCATTGCAACAAAAAAAAAGGACTGAACCCGCCGAAATCAGTTGCGAAAATACGTTCTTTTTTAAAAGTATTTAATGCCTTTTTTGCATAAGCTTGAATGTCATAATATTCTTCCGCATCTGAACGATATGCAGTTGCTTTTTTTAAAGAAGCCCACGCATTAAGCTGTCGATCATCCGCTTCCAATATCTAGAAAAAAACAAATCAATCAGAAGGCTAAAAGTGAGTCACCAATAAATTTTAACCCAACAGATATGCAAAATTAATAAATGATATTTACGACAAAATCAAGAATAGAATTTGAAGAACAAACTTCTTGGACTGTTAGACCAAAATTATTAGCTGGAACATTACGGTACTTAAATCGAGTAACAAGACCATCGCCAATGATGTCTTCATAATTTAATGCATAATACTCATTAAAATATTCTTCAAAAGTTTTTTCGGCTGAAAAAGTGTCATGTCGAAATTTATCAATAAAAAAAATTTATCAATTAACTTAAAAAATGCACCATTTTTTAAATGAAAACTTAAGGCAATAAAAGACAATAATGAATGCTTTAAAAAATTAAGAGACAGCTCACACGGATCGTATACTGGTTTTTTTTTCATAACAGCCTCGACAAATTTTGAATTTCGTTTTCGCTTTCTTCTGCTGAGAGCTTTTTCACGACACTCTATTTTTCCATCATCAACAACTGATATTGATTTATCAAAAGTATGAAGATCATTTGATTCAATATTAGCAGTATTTACATCGAAATTATCATAATCGGACTAAAAAATATTAATAACATAATAATATGCCAGTTTTATCAACATAAGATGATTGTAGGAATTTTTATGTAAATTATAGATGATTTGGTATTTGGTATCTATCAAGAAGCCTAATAATGCAAATAATAATGAAAGTGAACAACACATTTATCAGCTGATAAAATACTTATTTTTATCAATTCACTACCGATCGAGGAAGTGTTGGTCTTTAAATACCTTGGATCTACTCTAATGCTAAATGGCCAAGCAAAGAATGAAATCGTAATCCAGATAACTTCAGCTAAAATCCAGATAACTGCAGCTTATGTTTTTCCGGTTGATGAAACTTTCATCGAACCGTAGCGAATTCATCATAAAGACGAAAATCCCCGTCCATATAGCTGCAATTCGCTCGATCTTGCTATATGGCTGCGAAACAAAGCCAATGAGAGTGGAAGATATTAAGAAATTATTAGTCTTTGACCACTCATGTCTAAAGTATATTCTACGGATCCGCCGAGCAGATAAAATCTTAAATGTTTGTATCCACCTTCTCTCAAATACCACCTCCATTAATGTGTCGCCTTGTCGCCTTGGCTGGTTAGGGCATGTTCTCCGTCGTTCACCACAAAAGTTGGCTCATATTTCATTACTTGATAAGCCCTGTGATGGTCAACACCAAAAGCCAATCAAGACCTGGACTGATACAGTCAGGAAAGATTTTCAACGTATAGGTGGACCAGCAATATATGGACTCAGACGATGGAAAAAGGAATGGCTTCTATTACTGTCGACGATGGCATCAGACCGCGCCATCTGGAAGCGTCTTACCCTTGTAGCCATTGGAGCCAGCCTAACCAGTAATGGTGAGAGCTGTTAGAAGAAGAACAACAACAACACATTTAATATTAAAAATGATTTGATTTATAGTACTGTCAGAAAAAAAAAATAATGAACCGAACCTCATCAGTCGAATCATCTGAGATACCGGAAAATTCAGGTTTTTCTTCGTGTTCATCACCCTTATCATAATATTGGTTATTGAAAAGTTCCTTAAAAATATATAAGCCAAAAAGGAGAAAAAAAGTTAGATGGTTTAAAATAATAAATAATAATAATTAAAATTAATAAAAGTAATTTATAAATATAATAAAGAAATATAGTCAGAGTGAGACTTCAGAAAATTCGCTGAATATTTCGTTGAAAGGTAAATACCTTCATACGTTTATCATATTCTGCCGGATTAAAATCAGCTTCAAGATCATCGATATTTAAAGGAAGCTCGTCATCGCCAGCTAATTGTTTAAGTTTTCTCAACTTTTCCTCAATTTCTTTCTTCTTCATGGTTTTCAATTCCCTTATTTCGTTCTTTTTGATCTCTTTTTCTTGTTGTTTGCGTTCTCTATGGGCAATTCGCTTTAACTTCCTTTTATCATCCTTTTTCCGAATTGACTGTTTGATTGTACGTGGATATTGTTTTATCTAAAATAATCATAAAATAATCATATCCAATTCAAAAAAAAGGACAAATTTGCAGAAGCTATAAGCATCGCAAACTTCTTTTAAAATAGCAATAAATTTTGAAAATTCAAAAGATTCACTAACAAAGTCATTGTCAGGTTCCTCGTAACGAAAATTGTATTTCTTTTCAAATTCGGTTGCACGATCCAATTCTTTTTCATCCTCATCGATACTAGTTATAGCTTCATAAGTTGGAATTCTAAAAAACACTTATTGAATAAATATTCAAAGAAAAAGAGAGCAGTTAAAATAAAATTTACTCGTCGTCTTCATTCTCCTCGAATTTCTTCTCAAGCAAAAAATCGCGTAGAAATTTCTCCTCATCGTTTAAATCAGCCGAATCCCAGTATTTACGTAAACCGCTCTAAAATAAATAACGTTTTGCAAATTATGAAAAATTAAGAAAGCTTTCATTTGGAATAAAAAAATAAAAAGAAAAAATACGATACCAAATCTTCAAATCCGCTCGTTCCTTCTTTTTGCCCTTTAAGCCATTCATAGTATTCATCATCTTCCCTTTTCTTAAACATGATTTATTTAAATTAAATTCAGAGAATTTTATATGAATTGATCAAGGTAAAATTATTTAATCAAGGATTTGCTTTGCTGATAACAAATCAAATTAATGCAAGTCGATTTAGGCCTTGCAATTTTTTCATGATGAATACATAGAATATAAAAATTTTCGAAAAAAAGACCTTCTCAGTATCTGATTTGATTCGTTTCGTTAATAATGATTCATCATTGCCATCATTATCATCATCACTATCAGAAAGATCTTTGAGTGCTGCCTTCAGTCTTGAAAAAAATTCTTTATTTCTTAATGATTTAAAAATCAAGTGAGATCATATATCAAGTATATACCAAGTATATATCAAATTAGAAACAATCAAAATCCATTCTTTTTTGCGATCTGCTGAAAAAACCTAGTTTAGATAGTTTTACTGATTATCATTTTATTTGGGAATAGAAGTACAAGCAGTCCTTAGCATCTCAAACTTCCTTTTAAATAGAAGTGCAGTTCAACCGAGAAATAGAAATCAAAAAAATGCGCAATATTCATGTTTGCCAAAAAATGCTTGATCATCATAAACTTTCTGAATATTCAGCGAAAATAGAAAATTACTCTTGCTTTATCTTTTCTTGTTGATCATAGTAGCCTTCAGGTTTCATTGGTTTTTCCTCATCATCATCACTAAGTAATCTGTAAATTAATGCAGATTTAATGCATTATATTCAATTCAAAAGATTAAAAATTTCTTACAAATCACAAAATTCTCAAGAAAATTTTTACTAAACTTACAAAATGTAGCTCAAACAAAAATTTTTAATGAATAAGAATAATTAATAATAGGTTTTTTTTCTATATATTTCATAAATTTTAATAAATTTTTTTAAAATGGATTTTTCATTTTCAAAAAAAAACGCCAAAATAAAGTGAAAAAATATAATATAATAATATAAAAATAATTGTTCAATATAAATATAAAACAATAAAATAAATAACAGTAATATAAAATAATAATATTATTATAAAACAATAAAAATAAAAATAATAAAAATAATAAAAAAGAAATATTATATAATTTATAAAAAGCTAAAAAGCAACTAACCCATCTTTTTCAATAATCAATTTTCTTTCATAATCTTTTAAATACATTGGACCAGCTTTTTTCTTTTTGTAACGATTAGAAACAGCAGAAGATGAAGATAATCTACAAAAATTTTCCTATTAAATGATTTTTAAAAAAATCTTAAAAAATTTTCAAATATGCGATTTATCCATTATATCTTACAAGACATGCCAACCGAATATATGTATAAATGACAAACTCTTTCGTTTCTTCCTCTTCTTGTTCTTCATTAAAGAATTGTGCGTTTGTATAGATTTTTGGATCATGAGATTTTAAAGCCGAAAGGGTCTTTAAGAAATTTCTTTCATGTACTTTTGTCCAGAACTATAAAATGGAAAAAAAAACAATTAAAAATTGAAATAGAATAAGGAATAAACAAATTTTCCATGAAAGTATTAAGAAATGAACAAAAAATATTTACGACAGGTTCCTCGCTTGAGGTACTATCATCACTAGAACTGCCTGCATCATCGCCATATTTATCTTTCACTGAAAAAGCAGAAAATTTTTCTTTTAAAAATATTATTTATAAAAATATGTGATTAAAATGAATTTTTGGAGGAAAAGAAGAAAAATTTAGTCGTAAATTCAGAAGAAAAGAAAAAACTAATATTTTTGCATAAAAGTAGAATTAAAAAATTAATCCTTAGTTAGTATAAAGCTTTAATAAATTTTCAGAAACATAAAATTTTTTTTCTGGAAACATTCATCGTTTTTGGTAAAGCCCGCATCGTTGATTTGCGGGACTATTTCACCATATAATCATATAGCGATAGAGGTATCGCCCCGATTTTTGAAAGATAGGTTTACAGTGTTGTTATCAAATGCAACATCAACTACGTTCGCAATTAATAATATTCTTTAGTAAAATTCATTTCCTAGAATAACGACTCGTAATACTCACGACCGCAAATTCGTTATAGTCCATAAGGGTCTATAGGTGAATCTTTGGAATGGATAAAAAAAACCTAAGAGATTTATTGATATAAATATCTTGAATGAAGATTGTATTTACGCATTATAATATTTTATTAAATAATAATTTAGATATGCCTTTAGAAATTACAACCCTGACAATGTTAGCTAGAAATGTATTCTTCCGTTCGCCGAAAACTTTATGGAGCCATCACTATAAAAATCAGTATAAAAACGAAAGTCTATGTCTATATAGCTGCGATTTGCTCGATCTTGCTATATGGCTGCGAAACATGGCCAATGAGAGTAGACGATATTAAGAAGTTATCGGCTTTTTACCACTCTAAGATATACGGGTTCGCCGAATGGATAAGATCTCACATGATCACATCCATCTTCCCAGATACCATTCGCATTAATACTATTAGATAATGTCGCCTTCGCTGGTTAGAGCACGTTCTTCATCGCCCACCATATATTTCGTTATAATGGGAAGCTACGTGAGCCAACAGCCAATTTGTGCAATCTGGATTGATACAGGAAAGATTTTGAACGTCCAGGGGAACCAGCGGTACCACGACTCACGATGAAAAAAGGAATGGTTTCTTCTACTGTCGAGGACGGCACCAGATCGCGCAAACTAGAGTCGTCCTACCCTTTTAGCCAGCGCGGCCAACCTAACCAGTAATGGTGAGAGCCTCTGACAGAAGAAGATGTGCGCCTCTGTTTCAGTGTATATGCACAAATTTCTAAGAGGAGGTGCACAGTTTTCCAAGCGAACCCGTAACCGGCAATTCGCATCAAAAACCATAAAATCCATTCTCAAATGAATTCGGATGGCAATCACTAATTTTTACGAGACTCCGACAAAGCTTTCGAAACAGATTTTCGATGAAAAAAAATGTAATCGATTTCTTGAGAGATATAAAAATTACATTTTTGCATTTCTTCTAATCGACGCCAATTGTCATACCGTTCCGCATAATCTCTATTAATCCCAATCTGATTTTGTCCTTCCCCATCACCAATATCCAAGTCTAAGAGAACTTTGCGGGACATATCTGTATATTCCTCAATAATAAAGCAATTACAACAACAGCAAATTACAGGATTCTTACAGTCGCTATAAGACCAAAATAAAACCAATTCGAGCAATATATTCTTGATTCGAAATATAAGAACATTTGAGTTGTGTTCTCGCCAAATTTAGACACTTTCTCTCTGATACGGTGACAGCGATTCACCGAGCTTAGCCTAAGTCTAAGCCTAATCCCAAGACTTGGAGAGCTGAGAGGAATAGGAGGTACGAACTATGTCGTGAGCTTCGACCTTGCAAGAAATGGTCCCCGATGAAATTCGACTAAGCTTCACCATTTCTATAAAATTTCTAGCCACTGTCTCTTCTCAATTGCTTATTACCATTCAGATTTCACTTATGGAAATTATAGTGATTAGTGTAACACCATTCGCGATTACCTGATAGACTGGCCATTACCATACCAATAGCATTCATATGTAGGTTTTACACCATCAGTACGGTTACGGTCAGTCGGCATATCACCAATACCACAGGTCGGCCCTACCGTACACCTCTTCTCAAACCAGTATGATTTTGACACTTCAGTGATTTATTATCAATGTTAGTATTATCACACTAATCCGTTATACTGTTGCATTGTTGATTGTTTTTTAAATGAAAATAAACAAATAAAAATAAATCGAATTTAATTAAAAATAGTTCATAACGCTACTTCCCTCACTTTGAATCACGATTCAGTTCAACTAGGAGGACGATTTAGTTTTCATTTCAATTTTATGACCTAATTTTCAATGGCGAAAAAAATTATTGTTGCGCAGGTAATCAAATCCGTCGAAAAAGCTAATTCGCATGAATTCATGTCGAAAATTTTATGAATGCTTTGGAACTATTTCAAATAGGGAATATATAACACGCTCAATATGCCAAAAATTTAATGGATTCAACTGTGCTTATCATTCATTCGTGAAAAATTATGGAATAAATTAATTTTGCCCTTTCCATCTGCAGCAATGAAAACTAAACGACATAACTAAAAAAATTTTATAAAATTATTACAGATAAAAATACAGTTAAATAATTATTCGAACAAAATAAGCCGAAAATATTTAGAAAATTGAATAGAATGACCACAGTGACTCGTTAATAATTTGAAAATTGCAACTAAAACCAAACATAGTTGTCATATACAATGGTAAGAATTAGATGAGCGATTTTGTTCATGCAGATTCATCAGTTTTCGGTGGTATATCCTTATGAATAGATAGCTGATCATATGCTGGTGGTGGAGTGTCATGAATTAATGGATAATCGATCGCTGCAGCTGAATGATCAACCGGAACTTTTTTTGTGACAGGTGGTTCCATAACCGATGTTGCCACGAATGCTCTCACATTCTAAAAAAATCAAAACTGAAAAATTAAAAGAAAAATTAGAAGGAAAATTAAAAGCTGATGAGATAACCATGTGCAGCGAATTCATGAAAAAATAGAAAAGTTTTTAAAAAACGTTCAAAATTTTAACTCACATGAAGATTTTGGTATTTGAGTGAGCGGATCTGCTTAGCGATTGCAAGCATGATTGAAATCAGCGATATAATACAAATAAACAATGCAATCGCAATAAGACATTGGCTCACCAGTGATAAACGTCGAGCACGAGTTGCGATTCTTGATAACCATGATGGTTCCTCATAATTAAGACAATAAAAAATGATTAATAACCAAATCATAGCACTTATTCAGTGAAATCTTTTTATGATATTTAAAAATCAACCGAATCACCTTCCAAACATTTTTTTTTACCTTCAACAATAATAGCATTTTTCTCACCCTTCTTACCACTGACCTTATCCTATCGTTATTTCCGAAAATGTAATGAAAATGTAATTAAATGAAATAGAATGAAAATAAAAATAGAACAGCTAAAATGCATTACGGAATGTGCAGGACTGCTTTCGTCTTTATATGCAAGATTATGAGCAATATTTTGTGAGAGTGGGACTTCCTCAATAATATTGCCACCATTTTTGTCCAAATTATCAACATTTGGACCTTAAATAAAAAATCATCATAAAATCTGAAAAAATGTACTTTGAAACAAAGCTAACAGATAAAATATATACCGTATATAAAGCTGTTTATTTAAAATTATTTAAATTAAATAAAAATGAATTCCAACCTATAAAAGCATTAACCATATGCCCTTGAGGACGTTGCACTGATACATGTACACTGCCCTCATTAACAGTGTGCCATTTATTGAAGAAATGATTCGCTACTTCTTGCATACGAGCCATGTGCAGCTGAATACGGCGTCTCATTTCAGCGAATGGATCACCCCAATCATCATTAATCTCTTCATGAGACGAACCGAATCTGGAAACAAAATACCAATAAACCTCAAGAAAAATTTTGTTTAAAACCATGTAGACCATCTAGCCTTTAGTGGTAACATAAAGTTAAAATAAACAGAAATACATAGAAATGAATATGAAAATTCAAAAAGAGTCTTGTTAAAATTGAATTTGATTCTGCAAGAACAATATGATGTGGTAATTCTTGTCCAGTAATCGTAGTTCCAATGAAAAAATTATGGGACAATGAACCTACATATGACCAAAACACAACCACAACTTTAAACTCTGATAAGATTAAAATTTAAATTAAAGTAACAATAACTAACACACATATTAATTAGATGACGCCAAATAAAATCTAGCAAACTTTAGCAAAAACCACTCTTCAATTGTCCACAACGCAATTCTAATAATTATATAAATTTAGGCCGCGAAAAGAAATATGAAAAATATAAGAACCTTCGATTAACTGATTTGCAATCATCATTTGTTGCGACTGCGGTGTTTTCTATTATTTTAAATTCATTATTTCAAACTTACAATCCCGATCCGCCATATAAAGCCTTTCATTAAATTAATTCTTTGCCTTCACATATATCAGTAATAGATAAAGGTCAATTTATAGTATATACTGTATATTCTTCTCAAAGAAATCGGTTCTTATTCCCTCATTTTGGTTAATTTGGCCATCAAGGGACCCGAGCGGTTGGGTCTCAGTATGTCAATGTTCAATACTTTATTATTTAATATCTTTATTATTATATTGTGTTTAATTACTATTTAATTATTTTGTTATTTATTTCTTGTTACCTTCTTAGCCTCTTTGATTTAATCGAATATTTATTTTTTCTGTTTATATTTTAATGCGTTCAATTACCCAAGTTTGAAGTGATGAATAAAAATTTTATTGATACGTGCGGTGATCAGTATTTATTGTTTATTCTGCTATCCTGATAAAGCAACCGGATCAAGGTTATTCTAAAATATTAACGCGTGGCAGTCGAGCATCATCCCGCTGCTTTCATTATTTGCAACACTGTTATATGTTCTACACATGGATGAACGAATGTTTTGTTTATTTATAAATTTAGCATGGAAGTTATTTCTAAAAATTTTAAAGTAAATCTTTATTGTGGAAGATTTTTTAATAATGATCCTATTACGCGAGTGAAAATTAAGTTATTTCTCCTCAATAACGAATTAAAATTTGAAAATTATTTCACAGAATTATCAGTAGGAAGTCTTTGGATCTTTGGCGTTATAAGAAGAATTGTCTTCGATAATCTAATCAATGTTTCTTGGAGCTACCCAACTATAATATTCAAATCTATTCAAATCTTGAAGAGCATTCAAATTCTTCAATAAGAAATAAATCTTACAGCAGTATGATTAATGGACAGAGACCAGTCTTAAAATTGACTAAAAAGTGAGAAACTGTAAAGTAGGAAGCATACTAACCCAAACGATGGGAAAGAATCAGGAAAACGAGAGAAGATTTTACTAAATAAATCCTGTGCTACACCAAATGTCGGACTTTGATTACTGATAGATACTCTCATCTGAAATAAAATTTATAGAATTAATAAAAAATTTATGAAAATTTCTTCAAATAAATGAATATATACATAAATACAACAAATTTTCGAAAATTTCATGCTAAAATTTTTAATTTCCCAATTTTTTTATTAACTAATTTAAAATAAATATATAATATAATAAAAAATTTAAAACAGTAATAAAATCTCTTTTTAATTTTTCATACTCTTTAAATTTATACCAATATTAATTTAAAAAAAGGAATTGTAGTGCAATATACAAAATCATTTTCTATGAATAAATTTGTGGGAAATGAAAAATGAAATGAAATGCAAAGGAAAAAAAATTACAGCTGCATCATTTGATGAAGGTAGATGATCGCATCCATATGAACACGCGTCAATTTCCACCGGTGTTTTGAACGATATCACACATCCATTATGACAATTATTGACCAAACTTGATCTATCTTCAACATTTCCCAGAGCAAACTTATAGATTAAAGCTAATCGGCATCCTTCATTACAGTTTTTCACATCCTAAATTATATATTTATAAAAAAGACCTCGTTCTCAACCCCTGTTGGGCCAAGGATCTTCCACCAGCACAGGTCTGGAGGACTGAGGACTCTGTGCAATGTCAATGCTAGTCTAAATAAAAAATAATAAAAATAAAAATATACTTTTATACTGCAATCAAAATATACGTAATTATGTAATTTTATATATGACTTAATTTATAATTTAAAGCATAACTTCTAAAATCTATATAAAAATCCAATTCCATCTTGTCCGATAGATATCAAATTTGTTTATCGGTTAGCAAATACAGAAAACTTCAGAAGTCAATATCTGAGGTTATGAAATGAAAATGAAATAATTACAAAGGAATAGGAAGTATTGCTTCTGTTTCTGGAACCAAGCACCAAAACTGGTGCAAATCGAGAAAAATATGTAAAAGAGACGAAACAGAAATGCGAAAAAAGGATACGAATTATCAAAAATTATTTTAACTAATTGTTTTACTTCTTCATTTGTGAAATGTTCAACACATTTTCCATTGCATTCATCGTTCGATACAACATTACGAATTACTGCGAACAATAAAAACAACCAAATGACCGAATACATGCTGAAATAAACTTATCACCTCTTATCAATTAATCAAATAATCAAAAGAAACTCAAAGAACCGATTCAAGAAGACACTATATATAATTATATCGAAGAATTTCCACAAAAAAAGTGACACTCATTGAATAGACAAAAAACCTTTTCCTAAGTGCTGATCCTCAAAATGACCTTTGACCTTTGAGGTCAACAAATTAAAAAATAATTTTTGCACGAGTAAGAAAAATTAATGTTACATAAAAATAATAATACACATTAAATTATATATAAACAAGCGGCCGAAAATCAATAGAGAGGAGCGTTGCATTGCACAAAATCAATAAATTTGCAACGAACCAATTGCAAAGAATCTACACAAATTGGACAGTCGGTCCAATTAAAGGAAACATCAGTACAACGGAATGGCTCAGAGAAGAATGGGTTAACCAAGGAGCGCCGACGGTGATGACGTTCCATCCACTGCAGAAATAAATCTGTCCCTCAAAAATCCGAATTGGCAGCTCGTTTGCACTTCCATCCGCAAGCGACTCCCTGGCAAGGGTTCGCTAGGAGTTCGTCTAACTGAGCAAGCTGAACGAGTTCAACCAAAATCAGAGATAATTAGCAGAAATGATTTGGGGAAGAAAAAAGAAAATAGCAAATAGCTCTAAAGTCTTACTAAAATAAAACAATTAATAATAATAAATGTAACAGAAAGTGATTTTAGCAATAGCACTTTCACTATGGCGCGACGGCGTGGCGCGTGACTCCGACTAAAACCAGCGGTCGATTCTCGTCCCTTGAAGCAGTAACCCCGCAGGCGAGGAGCTTATAGTGAACTTATGGTGTCGCAGATGCCATGCGACCGCTTCTTGGCCCTCTTCATCGCCTCTTCACAGCCAATTCAGCCAAACAAATCGGAGAAATTTGGAGAATCGCCAATCGCCTCGTTTCTCACCTTGCTTTTGCAAAAATGATCAATCTTTTCCTTCCAAATAATGAAAAAAAAACAACACTACGAAAGACCAAACCGCCGACTTCCAAATGCACCAACCAATTACACATGAATTAAAATATTGCATAACACGTCAACAACCACGAAACATGGCCATATCCGCAACATTATATGGCCTTCACCATAATCGGTTACAGTCCACTCACCTTCCTCATTTCCCGGCAAGGAAGACGGAAGTCTCGAGATAGAAGTTTATAAGTCTATAGTTGAGCGGGAGATGAACTAAAGTTTTACGTGACAAAGTAAATCAATAAATCAATAATCAATTCTTTTCGTGATGCAGTGGACCTTTTTAGGACACAACAAACTGGTAACGATACGAGAAAAATAAAAAAAAGAAAGGTGGCGAGTTAAGCGTCGCTTATCATCGCCGTCCATTTGACCGGAAGGTACCACCTGGATTTTTCGCTTTTTATAATTTCAGTTTAGAAAATTTATGAAGAGCTTAAAAAAATTTTGGAAAAAACAAGCAAATAGCGATTTATCGATGCGAACAAAAGACTGGATCAGCAGCAACCGCAAATGTTTTTTTCACCACAGTTTATATCCGTTAACTAAACAAACATTTGCTATCGCTTTTTCTTCTACTCCAGCGAGAATTATCGATGTATAATGCACAAATGGGAATAGTAAATATCCGACTGAGGTCAACGAGGGTCGAGCAGCAGCGATTATCAGTCTATTAGTCGAAAGGATACTAAATTTTGGAACTTCAGCACGGAAATTTATTGGAACATGATATGACGGCGACTTATTCCAATAACATTAATCTTAAAGTCTATTTTTTTTCAAGGAAATACACGAAACACAATAATGTTTGGTAATTGTTTTCATGTAAAATTATAAAATTTCAGGCTTAGGCTTGAGCTTGGACTTGCCCTTATGCTTGGGTTTCGCCTGAGTCTAACCTTGAGTTCGGTAATCTTCCTAAATACCTTCCACCTCCAAGTGACTCTCTCTGGCTTTCTAAAGGATCTGCACCAAGTAGTAAATGAGCAGCGTTCACCCTTTCTGATTAGAGCGGCTCACCCAACCAGTATGATAAGAAATTTTTGCCATGCACTCATTTCCTCCACTGCTTGGATTACAAGTTCATTTCCTTTCCGTGGGAGGTACGAAATGATGCTTGAAACGATTAAACTATTCTATTTAGTGCAATAAGCTAAATCAGAAGTGATAAGTGATTTTAATCAATATTTAACGTTTTAGGCCTTAATCAGTTTGAATGATAAAATGTAAAAAAAATTCAGTCATAAAAATTATCATTTAGTGCTATTGGTTGTTATTCGTAGCTTATTTCGGTGGTTTTTTATTTCAGATCCCAAAAATTATTAAATTAATTTTGATTATAGGCTCTTGATAAAGCCATAAAGCATTGAGCACTGATTACATTCTTACCAACGTTTATATTTTTCGTCTTGCTAATATCTAATATCTTTATCAGTCAATACATATTAAACTTATACGCAATAAGCCCGAGGCTACGTCTGATTTTAAGCTATCTAAGCCCTAATTCAAGCTTTGTTCATGGATTAGCTATCATATCACCGTTAAAACTGCAAAATTCGCAATTTCATTGTAAATGGAATGAATACAAACAACATTAAATATTAGTTAACTTGTTTGATAAACGTACAATCATGTTCCGATTTATGTATTTATTCAAATACATAAATTCTTTTCTCAATATAAATAATAAAAATTAAAATATATTTAATAAAACATAATATTTCCTATTAAAAAAAATAATATATATAACATATAATAAAAAAAATAAAAATATTAGAAAAATTTCAAAAATAATTTGCAAAAAAATGCAAAGCCAACTTTAGAAACGAAGAAATAAGAGGGTGAACCGAAGATTTGCGGTAAATTCTTGGATGAACTTCAACCCACTGATGTCATGGCACAATACCCTATTCACTTTTCACCTAAAATCTAATATTTTTCTAGTTTTTCAATAAAAAAACTCTCTGTAGAAAAATACTACAATATATTTATTTCACTAAATGACTATTATCCGACTACCATAACTATGGCTATTTGTGTTTAATTAATCATATTATATCATATTATACATATTATACTTGGTTGAATGTCCATAAATCATAACCTAAATAAAAGGATCCACGGTAGAAATTAGTATTCGCCACAAAAATAATTCCCCCCCCCCCTCCACCTTTGCCTCTCAATGTGAGCCTCCGCTTGAACCTTGCAACATGGAAAGTGAACCTTCAGTTTTCTTTTCTAAATTTATCGAAGATATCTAACTATACTATATAAATAATAACTGCGTACTATCTGATTTATAAAGCCTTACAATTTTAAGTGTTCGAAAAGGAAATACTGTATTAATAAAAGAATCCAAGGTAAACAATCACATTTTATGCAGAAAAATATCAACAATAAACGGAGAAAATATTCGCATATAAAATATTTACTTAATGTTGTAAAAATATTATATTTAATGCCAAAATTAGCAGTGGGTTATTATTCATTTCGAAGTTTCTAAACTGCTACTGAATTAAAGATTGTTGCGAAAATCCGGGCGATGCTAGCGTCTCATCCATGTTTCTATTGCCAAGTAGGAAAAATTTGCCTACTTCGACGGAGTGGGCCTAGCCAGAAATATTGATCGCTAAGAAAAAAATTTCATTTGACTTCTTATTAATACAATGGCGCTTGTTGCCTTGTTGTAGTTTTTTCAAATAAATAAACAATAAAAAGAACTAACAGAAAAAAAAAGAGAAAACTAAAAAATTTAAATAAAAAAATAAAAATGATAAAAAAAGAATTTGAAAAATTAAGCGAACTTTTCATTTAACAACAAACCATTCGTGATAGAACTCTATGAAAAAACTTTTATCACTTACTAAGTGTTGAATTATGTGGACACGAAAAGAGTCCATAATGAAACCAAAAAGAAGAAGAAAAGAAATTGCTTAATTAAATATTTAAATATTTATAAATATGCCTTATCAATTGCTGAATATTTATTAAACATATTGGACAAGCAATGAATTTATTATTTCATCATTAACAATTAAACTTATAAATAAATAAAAAAGAATGCAAATTGATGAGAACTTTTTGGTTGTGGGGTACCAGCTGCAAAAAGCAGTGTTTAAAACCGACTAGACAATAAAAATGAATTAAGAGGCAATAATACGAGCAACATTATCAACTGCAGCTTGTGGTGATTCTTTGAATAAAAGTAAGTGCCCTTGAATTTGTGCTGGACTAACGTCAACATTTAATGAAGAAACGGCTCGTTGGAAATTCAAAGCCATATCATTGACTGCCTTTGAACCATAAAAATGCATAAACATCTGAAAATAGATTGAAATTAAATTAAGCTAAATTAAAAATAATTCTGAATTTAACAAATATTAAAAAAATTACCGCAAATTTCACAAACGTTCATTGAAAACTTCAAGAACAAACCTCTAAAATTTTAGAAAAACCAAAATTTAAAAAAAAAATTAAATAAAAAATAAGAAAAAAAGTAAGAAGTCTTTATAATTTTACAATAATTTCTTTACCAACATTTCACAAAAATTCGTGTGTGATGTTGGCGACTCACCAAGGAACTCCATGGCATATTGCTCAATGTGACAAGCCAGTGGAGCGATTTTAACCAGTAATGGTGAGGATTCATTTTAAAAAATTTAGAAAATAGTTAAATTGTTAAAATTTATTGTGCTCAGTGAATTTGTTCACTTATTTTGGTTGAATGGAAATATTAGAAAAATATTACCGAAAATATCATTGTATCCGTGCAATAACCAAAATATTGTTTTATATCAACACGACCCGGTCGAATAAGTGCTTCATCTAGACGATTTATAAAATTTGTTGTCATAAACAAAATTCTCTCCTCCGCACATGCTACGCCATCGATTGCATTTAATAAACCCGAAAAAGTAACTCTAAATTTTAATGAATAGATTAAAAAAGATACCCATTCAATTAACATCCAAATAATAAAGTAATAATCAGTAGCACAAACGCCATTAAGCGAAAAAAATTTTACAGTTAAAATCTGGTCAATCATTTTTAATGCACATTGAAGAAAAATAAATATAAAGAATGGCTGAAAGGAATTGTTAGTCTAACTTCAGTGAGGGAAGGGGGGAAGAGGGAGCGGCGATAGAGTTCTGCTTTCACAAAATATTATCGGGTGATTCCTTGGTGAAATATGCTTGATCCGACAAGAAAGCGCAGAAACCAGCAAGTTCATCCAGAAATTATGAGTATTTTCAGAAAAAATTATAAATTATAAATTATGAAAAAAATCACCTCGTAAGTCCATCATATATTTTCATATTTTGTACAGCATCCACTCTGGGACCAAAAGCAGCATCAATATCCTCCAGTAAAATAATACTCTGATAAAAGATAAAAATAAAATAAAAATAAGGAAAACTACTAGGATTAAGTAGTCGATGAATTTTATTAAAGCGTAAAAATTTTTACATAGAAATAGCCGTAAAATCAAATAAATAAAAAACAAACTTTAATATTACATTGGAAGGTGGCGTATTTAAAAGATGGTTCAGGCGATCATCATCCAGTGTCCTTTCACTTAGCGATAAAATGCAAATACTATATCCAAAATGACTAGCAAGAGCAGCAATAAAACTACTCTTACCAGTGCCAGGTGGACCATAGAAAAGATATCCACGTCGATATGGCACACCATGTTCAACATACCTGAAAAATTTATTTTTAAATAAATATTTCATCTTGGTACCAGATTTTCCATATTAAAAAATTTTAAATTTCGTTCTTTCAAATTTAATTTCTTTGATAAGTCTACAGCTGTCGTGCTTCCCACTGCTATCTGATTCTGAATCAGATAGTGACAGAATTGCTGTGGTTACCTTCTCATCGATAGGTAAATGTCGATAAAAGTACCAAATTTATTTGCTTTGAAATTTATTAGAAAAAAATTAAAATTAAAATTCGTCTGAACAAAATTTTATAAAGAAACTGGTACCTGATTAGAGAAAAAATAATGGAGAATTAAAATAAACCATTGAGCAGAAGAGGAAAACTCTTTAAAATCTGCATATATAAAATCTGCAATGCCATTATCGAGTATGACAGAATTTAGTGGCCTTTTTCTGCGAGCAATACCGAGCCTTCGCCATTCGGGTCCAACTGCTTTATATACAACTAATCCAGTTTCAAACTAAAAAAAATTAGGCAAACTTTAAATTTTCAGATTTCTTGTCTTAACGAAAAAGCTCACACTTGCCAATGCCTCATCTGTCGCTTTGCACAAAATATTCTTTAAGAAATTGACATCTGTTCCTGTAATTTCCTAGAATTATAATTAATACAGTTTTTTTCAATAACTTTTTTAATAAGTCGCGAAATTTGTAAATCTATTTACTATAATTCTAATTCCTTTTAGATCAAATTTTTTGACAATGCAAAGTGGTATTTGATTCCAATTAAACTTTGATAATGCATTTGCATTATGCAGAATCTCATTCAAATCACTTTTCAAACTCTATTCAGAATTAAAAATATCAAATCAAAAACAAAAACCTAATGTAGTCAGCGTAACAGTTTCAAAAGGTATACGAAAACCATCCCTCTGAATACTTTGTTTTTCTCTTTGCCTTTCAACCTAAAATTTTTTTCCAATTTTTGGAAAGAAATTTCAAAGAAATTTTAAAATAATGAAAAAATATGATAATTACTGATTTTAATCTATTGCGATTTTATATATTTAAATGAATGTGTGAATCCCATTAAAATATCCATAAAATACATGAAATTTAAATAAAAACTTAATTTTAAATCACATAAAAAAATTTAAAGCAGAAATTTTACATTAAATTTTAGAAAAAACTATGCCCAATAGACAACAGAAAATTTTAAAATATAAAATTATCAGTGTAAAATAATAATACAAACATAAAATTCACCAAAAATTACAGAAATAAAATGAATGGAGTGAAAAATTAGGATAAAATAGCTTACTTGTATCCATCTATATTCATGAACAAAATAATGCATCCCATGTCCAGGCAAAAAATTGAAATTCGTTGTAGTTTTACCACTTTCTGCTTGAAATAATGAAGTTTGCACAGATAAATGTCGACTTTGATTTTTACTATGCCGATTGATATAACTTAATAGCCAAGGATATGCTCTAAAAATGAATCCCTATAGATTCTAAGAAATTTCTAAGAAATAAGAATAACTAAGAAATATCTACTACTAAATAACTAAGAAATTTCTACTTTTTTGATTCTCAAAACATATTTTTTGAATCTCAGTCTTTTCATATGAATACTCAAATCTTCTAAAATCATTTCTCTCGAAACTATCGGAAAAAAGAAAAGCTTACACATCTTCATTGCTGATTTGTAAAGAAATAATGCATCGTCTTCGAAAAACTGAATTCGCGATTATGGCACTTTTTCGCAGCATCGACATCGTCAAACCTAAAGCAGCTAAACCGGCGCCCGCACCAAAATAAGGATTTTTCGATAAAGACTCATAGATCTTAAAAATTTGGAAAATAAAATAAAAGAAAATAAAAATTAAATTCCCAGTATAATATAAAAAGTGCAATATTAAAAAAACCTTATTAAAGTGGTTTGATCCAGTTTCATATGTTTGATACGAATCAGCAATTACAGTGTTTTCCGTTTCTAACAAATCCATTCTGAAACTTCAAAAAACCATTAATTTTCCTAGGCAAAAGGGTAATCAATTTTTTACGGATGAATTTCAAGGATAATCAATTGCTGTTCATTATTACTCACCATAATCAACAAAGGTGGTATGCCCAAGTGGGTTGCTCTCATTTAGCAGCACTATTGCTAGAAGACTACTTCTGCAGGAGTACGAAACTTTTTTTCAAAAACTTGCGCGAGTAAGTATTGATGAGTAAGTATTTCCAAGCAATCTTGCAAAATCCCGCAATAAAAAATAAATAATTGCAAAATAAAACTAATAAATTTTTTTTTTTTTTAAAGTCCTCATCAATACTCGCTCCGCTGGCTTGTAGCACTGGACAAATATGCCACGCAGTCGCATGGCGATAGAAGTAAAGATGAGTCGCCAGTATGCCCCGGGTTTTGTATAGGTTTACTCCTGCGGGGAATCGAACATCGGCGCTCCAAATTTAGCAACAACCTACTGAACCATTCTATCCCCCAGGGTAATTACTTACGATGTCAATAACCAGGATTCTATCACATGAAGATAGTGCTACGCCACTACTAACAGGCACCACTACTCTGAGCACCCGAACTCCTCCGATCAGTGCCATGCTTGAGAACAACCCCCTTTTCCGCCATCTGGAATTTCACCTTTCGCCTGGCGATTCGCCACGTTTTGAATCTGACACTGCTTAAATTTTTAATGAGTAATTTCATAGAAATAAATTTATTTCAAAATTTTCAAATTATAACCATTATTGCCTTTCGGAGGAAAGAAATGGAAATTGGAGAGTCTTCGACAAAAACAGTCGTCGAAACAGACCAAAAGCAGCTCAAAGAAACCAGGTCACAGATCCACAATAAACAAACAATGGGTCATAAAAATCCCGGTCTCGAAACGAAAACATTGAACACGCCGCTAAGGTAGTAATTCGAATTATCACTCAATCAACTTAAAAATATAAGTGTATCTCTGTTTCTGAGGTGAGGAGAAAGCGGGGAGTGGGGAGGGGGAAAGAGGAGAGGGGAGGAGGAGGCGAGTTTATCTCTTCTTTACTGGTTGTTTTCGTGGAAGTCCCTCAGTCCGTTTAATCTTATTTCGGTTATTTTATATTTATAATTAAAATTTTGGTGAATTTTTTGACACTTTTTTATTTCCGAATTTTGTTATTTTGTTAAATTATTCATTGGTTGCAAATTAATTTTTTTTAATTTTTTATTGATTTATTTTCGTTAAATTTTATTTACTCTTTGTTATTTGTTTTTTTATTATTTTTTAAAATTTATCTTTTTATTTTAATTTTTCTATTTCAGTTTTTTTACTTTTATTGATTTTCAATATAAATTTATACAATATAAATGGCATAAAAGACATAAAAACGAAATTAGCTTTAATATTTTCCTATTTTTTCGATTGTTTTTTCATCGTTTCAATAATTTTTATAATTATTTAACTAATAATATTAATAGTAAAAATATCAATATCAATAATAATGTATGAAGTATTTATTAGAATGGCTGATTGAGTTGTTATTGCTCACATTTCGGAGCGCCGATGCGGGCGCTTTGCTCCTCGCAGGCGTAAACATCTTTCGGAAATCCCAGTTGCTAATAAGCCATTTACTGCCAAGCGATCATCGGGCAAGGTTTGTCTGGTCCGATAAACCAGCGAAGCGAACCGAATAATGAGCACTGTTAGAGAAAAAATTAGTTTTTATGTAATTTTTAAAACAATTTTCTGCTTCATTTATTGTGGTTCGTAAATTCGTTATTCGTTTATTTTTCGCGAATTGTGAATTTTTTATTTTTTGAACTGAAAATACAAATGAAAAATTCAAATTTTCAAACCGTATACTCGCAAAGTATATTTATTCTCATACTTGTAGTTATGGTGTTTTTTTTCATATATTTTGTGAATTGAACCATAAATTCTTATATTTACTCCATATTTACTCGATTTATGCGAAATATTTACAATTAATTGCTGAAATTTCTTATTGAAAATTTTATTTTTTTAGAACGATTTATGGTATAAAACAAATGGAAACATGGAGTCCATCATCAACAGATCTTCAGCAGGTTTCTTTATAAGTTTTTCAAAATAAAATTTCATAAATTCTTTTTATTTTTACGATAAAATAGAATAATTTGTAAATAAATAGGATTTAATTTTTATGTATGCCAGTGAACTTTGCAATTGATAAGCTAGGAGGAGTCTTTCTTCGTGAAATCAATTTTTTGAGAGTTGGGTTGCTTTTGGCGCATTTTCTTGTAAATTTCATAGTCTTTAATTGAAAATAGCTTTTTGATTTCGTTCGACAGTAGGATGTAATGCATGGGTGATGCTAGCGACTCACTTCTATTTCTGTCGTCAAGGGACTCCCTGGCACATTTGTCCAGTGCGATAAGCCAGCGGAGCGAGTTTAATCAATAATGGTGAAAACTATAAAAAAAAAGGATGTAATGTAGAATAGGTGGATTTTGATTGTCTTCTAGAGGTCAAGAAAGATCATGGTTAATCTATGAATTGTTTTTGTTTTTCCCCACTTGTGAAATATTGTTTTAGGTGCTGGAGTTACTTCAGCTTTCCAGTTCACCTGATACAGAAACGCAGAAGAAAGTGCAAGAAGTTAGATTTTTGAACAATTTGCTAATTGTATTCAATGCTTTTAGAAAACCTACTCTTGCTATTCTTGTTTTTGCTCTTGCTCCTTTCTTTCCTTTTTCTTAGCTTCCTTTTTATTCTTTTTTTTTCAGTTTTTTATTCCACTTGAAATTTTAACTATAAAACTTTCTATCTGTTTGATTCTAAGATTCAATCTTTTAGCGCTTGGATCAATTAAACTCCCATCCGGAATTCGTATGCTATTTGGCATATATATTAAGTCGACTTAGAAGTGAACAGGTTTGTTTCTTCATTTCAAAATGGGCTAAGGAAGAATTATCGAATACGGAATATAATTTAATACAATTTATCACATATTTTAGGTAACAAATCGATCTCTTTCTGGTTTAATACTCAAGAACTGTGTTCGACAAATGTGGAATCAACTGCCGGAACAGATACATTTATTTATAAAAAACGAGGCTCTATCTGCGATATCTGATCCAGATCCTTTAATTAAAGCGACAGTTGGTATAATTATAACTACAATAGTTTTAAATGAAGGAATTGCTAAATGGCCTTCACTAATTCCAACTCTTTGTGAAATGTTATGCACTACGAATATTGATCTTCAGATGGTATTTTTCATGAACTTTTTTTTAAAAAAAATTATGTATCCATGGAAAGTTTAAATTTAAGGATGACTATCAGATTCTGTTCAGTGATAGAATTTTTTTCAACAAATTATCTATATAATTCAATAATCGAACATAATTCAATATTTTTCGTTTTTATGACCGATGAAGTTGAATTTCAGGGCGCGCTAGGAGCTTTGCAGAAGATCTGCGAAGATTCAGCTGAAGTGCTCAATGTCGATAACCATCTTGCTCTTCTTATTCCACAACTATTCAATTTTTTAGATTCTCCTATATCTAAGATGAGGTTATTAACCTTTGCTTCAAATTTTTAAAACTGAATAAAATTCAATATTTAACAAGCAACGTGGAAATTTTTTATAATTATTCAAGCATATTTTTACTGTTAAGATTTCTTTTTACAAAATTTTTGTGGCATTTATCACATTTCATTTTTTTGAAGCATTTTTTTACATTTAAAACAGCATGTTTTCTTACAAAGTTTTAATGAAAAAATTTTCAGGGCATTGTCAATCAATACTCTAAATTCAATTTTAATGGTTCATCTGCAAGTATTGAAGGATGTTGTTGATCTTTATGTATCACATTTGTTTCGTTTAGCCGGTGATGCGGATGGGGTATTGCATAAAATTATAAATGAAAAAAAAATTGTTTATATTTGATTATTTTTGTGGTTATAAAAAACCACAATCTTTGCAGGAAGTGCAAAAGCAGTTATGTCGTGCGTTGACATTGTTGTTAGATATTCACTTAGATAAACTTGCTCCTCATCTCGCGAATATTACTGAATTTATGCTGATAAAAACACAAGTTTGTTTATTCGTTCTTAATGCCAAGAGATATTTTGGCTTCTTTTTTTTATTTTCTTTTATTCAGCGATAGATGTTCATGTTTTTTCGTAATGAATTTTTATTGACTACCAGTTACCAATCTTTTATTAAGTTATTCATAATTTTAGGATGGTAATCAGTTGACAGCTTTAGAAGCTTGTGAATTTTGGTTAGCTCTGGCAGATAATTCTCAAGTATGTAAACACACCTTATTACCATATTTGCCGAGGTTAATACCAGTATTAGTGCGATGTATGCGTTACTCTCCTGACGATCTCATTTTGCTTAAGGTATTTTGAACTTTACTTGACATTTTTTTACTGATTAATTGGAAAAAAACTATGGAATAAATGTTATTTCAGGCAGATGTTGAAGACGATAGTGCTATCCCAGATAGACAAGAGGATATACGGCCTCGATTCCATAGAACGAAATTTAACGCACAAAAAAATTCTGATGGTTGCAATGACTTGGTTTATTTTTTTTGTTTTTTTCATCAACTTGGATATAAAATTCAGTATCCTCAATTTAATTTCGAAAGTCTTTTTCCTTTTAATGAAATTTTTGAGGAATCTATGGATGATGATGATGATTTTGATGATGACTCTTCGATGGAATGGAATTTAAGTAATTATTTATTTTAAAATTTTATTGCGTTCCAATGTTCACGCGATTATTCGAAATATTTCATTATTATAAACAAAAATAGCCAAAAATTAAAAAAATTTGATAAATTCCAGTCAAATTTTAATGTTAACTCTAATATATTGATTTTTAAAAAAATCTATCTAGGAAAATGCAGTGCCGCATCACTCGATGTTTTATCTGGTATATTTGGTGATGAATTTCTGCCAGTTTTATTACCGATATTGAGGGAAACCTTGACTAATGAAGATTGGCTGGTATCTTTTGTTTCAAACAGCCAATTATTTTTATATATTTTATTGATCTTTGCACTTTTTATTGGTATCATTCTACTGATAAGAAAATTATTCGGATGAGTAGAATTGTGTTCAAACTATGGCATGCTTGACATTTCCTCAAAATCCCTTATATTCCTTTAATAATAGCCTTTCGATCTCTTAGATTTCTTCCACAGTATTCCTCTAATCTTGTATTCTTGTATTCTTTCGTTATCCTTAAATCACAAAGATGCAGTTTTATTTTAAATTTCATGATTTCTAAATTTCATGACAGAAAAAATTTTGGTAAATATAGGAACAAAATAGGGTTGTGAAGAATTATACTTAATTGGGTGTTTAATTGTAGGGCATAATGGCCCTTTGGAATTTGGATTATAGAAAGATAAAATTTGATGCTTAAAGTTCTTCTTACGCTTTTTCACTATTCTCTGTTATTGTTATGCTATTTTTAATTTTAAAATTCGTAACTACAGCCATAGCAAAGGAAGGTGACTTTAAGAGGATAGTCTGGGTCTGATCGGTCAAAGGGTCCTAAAATTTTCCTTATAAATAATATTTCATCATGGTAAGCGACGGAATTTTTTGGGAATTTAGGGAAATTTTTACAAAAATATCAAGTAAAGATTTCAAAAGGGCAGGTCAAGATCAATATAGTATTTTAAGGAAGTAGAAAAAAAAGCGTATTTAATATTAGCAGCAAGAGTTTATGAAGGGGAGTTTAAAGTATTATGTCCGATTTTACTAGAAGAATAATGCCAAGACGCAGGATATGAGAAACTTGAGACTATCGATTTAAGATATAAGGATATTTATTAATGCAACTGATGAACTTTAAATGTTTTTTTATTTTTCTTTTCCAACTATTTTTGCGATATTTTTTTTGATGCATTCATTTATAAAATTTTAGATTAAAGAAAGTGGGATACTTGCATTAGGTGCTGTCGCAGAAGGATGTATGGCTGGTATTAAACCTCATCTTCCTCAGTTGATTCCCTTTCTTATTAATTCGTTAGACGATCGAAAAGTATTCTCTATATCTTTAAGCATTTTCTACTAATATTTTTTCAGAATTAGATGATTTAGCAGTTGCTAACTTTAATTTTTAATAGTATTTAGTTCTTTTGTTTTATTAATTTGCAAAACACAAATTTCAGGCCCTTGTTAGGTCAATAACATGTTGGACATTGTCGCGATATTGTCAGTTTGTTATGCAACAAGATCATAATCTGTATTTTAAAAGTCTTCTAAAAAATGTTTTTTTTTCAGAATTTATAAATTGGCTAATTTTATTTTTCTTATTCTGTTCCACAATTTTGATGCTAAATTAAAATATTGAAATGAACTGGATTGATGAATTGATGAATTTTTTTAAGCTTTTGATACGAGTGTTAGATAGCAGTAAGAGAGTCCAAGAAGCTGCTTGTTCAGCATTTGCAACTCTTGAAGAAGAAGCAAGTACTGAACTTGTTCCATATCTTTCAGATATTATTTCAACGCTATCAGTCGCTTTTCAGCGTTATCAGGTTTTTCATTTTTGACAATTTTATTTTAATATTTTATATTATTTTATATATTTTTATAAATATTTTTGAAAATTTTAATTTACCCTTTTATTCTTCTTTTAATATCTTTTTTAATATAAATTCAGGCGAAAAATTTACTGATATTATATGATGCTGTAGGAACGCTTGCAGACAGTGTTGGAGCTCATCTTATCAATCCATCTTATCTTGAAGTTATTTGCATTATTTTATTATCCATTATATTGTAAATTTTCACAGGCCATTTTAATTGCCATATTTTCCATATTCAAAAAAAGAATAATTTAGGCACTTATGACTCCATTAATGGCCAAGTGGAGTTCCTTGACTGATGATGATCGTGAACTGTTTCCTTTACTTGAATGCATGTCTTCTGTCGTAACAGCTTTACATTCCGCTTTCGCACCATTTGCCAAACCAGTATTCGACAGGTTTATTTCATGTTTCATTTTCTTCTACATGGCTATTTCTTAGCTATTTCTCTAAGATAGATGGAAAAGTAGAAAATTCATTTGATTTATTTTCCTTCTTTTACTCTGGATAATTTTTTTTCGGTCAAATTCTTAATTTTTTAAATCAAGTTCAAATTTCAGATGTGTTTCAATCATTTCGCGAATTTTATATCAGATCCAGCTGGCAAAAGAACGGCCAGGTGAAGCCGAGATGCCAGATAAAGATTTTCTTGTTGTGGCTCTTGATTTATTGTCGAGCTTGACGGAAAGTCTTGGCGAAGAAATAGATCATTTTGTCGGTGAAAGCAATATTATTGCTCATTTATACCAATGCTCAATGGTAATATAAATTTACTAATGCGAAATTTCTTGATTAATCTAAATTAGTTTCATTAAGTTTCTATGAAAACAGAGTAATGTAAAATATTTCATTTTAGGATCCTCAATCCGAAGTGCGGCAGAGTGCTTTTGCTCTTTTGGGTGATTTGACGAAAACGAGTTATCATCGGCTGCAGTCACATTTAGGTTGATTCTGGATTAATGATACATCTTAGACGCACTAGATGTCTTTGATTTTTCTTAATTTATTCTAAATTCGGAATCGAGAATATATGTTCTATCTTAAAATCCTTGGATATTAGACATTTGGTTTTTTTTCATACTTTCTATTTCCTATTTTCTTATATTGTTTAAATATTTTTTCTAGATATGATTATGTCTGTTCTTTGTCAAAATATTAATCCGGAACAAGTTTCGGTTTGTAATAATTCGATATGGGCTATTGGTGAAATATCTTTAAAATCAGGTGAAGCGATGAAGAAATATGTGGAATCAATTATTCCAAATCTAATTTTTGTTATAAGTCGTGAAAAAATACCAAAAACACTTATGGAAAATACTGGTTTGAAATCGATTTTTTATTTTTTCTAATAATTAGTTGGTCATTTCTGAATTAAATGTTTAATTGATTAAAATTTTTAAAACAAATTCAGGATCTTGTCCATAGATTCGAACTCTTGCTTTCCATATTAATCGCCTAATTTTGTTACTTTTAGCGATCACAATCGGACGAATGGGTATCACTTGCTATATCGAAATTGCTCCATATATGTCTTATTTTTTGCGACCATGGTGTTTAGCTTTACGAAATGTTCGCGATAATCCAGAAAAAGAAAGCGCTTTTCGAGGCCTTTGTTACATGGTTAATGTGAACCCTGCTGGTGTTATTGAAGTTAGCTTTTTTAAAGAATATTGGTTAATATGAACAAGGATTAATTCTTTTTTTGATAAATCATTGTAATTTTTACATTTGGACATTTAGGATTTCATTTTTTTCTGCGATGCAATCGCTTCCTGGAATAATCCCAGCTCGGAACTAAAAAATATGTTTGAAGAGGTTATTTTTTCATCTTTCAACTCATATTTTAAATTTTTTTTTTTTGAATTATTTTTGATTAACATTTTAACATTTAACATGATTAACATTTTGATTGATTAATTGATTGATTATTTTTGATTTTGATTTAAAAAGGATCTGATTTTCGTGATTAAGAGAATGATTAAGAGAAAGTTCAGTATCCTATAGTTTCTAAGAAATTGAATTGGGAAAAACATATATAATCATAATTATTCGAATTATTTGCAGATTCTTTGTTCTTTCCGAGATAAAATTGGTCATGTGAATTGGACAGCGTTCATTTCTCAATTTCCACCACCGCTGCAGCAGCGATTGGCTGCATTATACAACATATGGAATGTTTAATTCGAATCGTTAATTAAAAAAATTTTTTAATCAGTTAAAAATTTTTTAATTTCTTATTTCTTTGAATCCATCTTTAATTAATTGGATGTTGGTCGGCATCTATTTGCGAATTTATTCAATATGGAATGCTGGATCATTGGTACCATTGAAGAAACACCGCAGTAATTGATTCCTTGAAAAAATGTTGTTCCTAGATGCGACTCGGTTTTAATGGAGAATATTTGTAAAAAAAGTGTCTTATGAAATTATCAGTTGCAGAATCGATATAACATGATGGTCAAATATTAATAATGTAGTCCGTCTATTCAATCTCCAAACAGTGTGAAGTGTGAATACCTTTAGTTTATTCTTTGTGAATATTTTTGATCAAGTAACAGTCTAAAGTTATTGTTATAGCACAAAATGATGATTGTGCAAGGTTTTTTCTTTGCTCATTTCAAACTATTCTTTATTTAATTTTCATTTGAATTTAATAGGCTTTCAATTCTCTGCTTTTCATTTGGCTGTTTATGTATTTCAAAATTGATTATAAATTCGATTTATGAGAGATAATTTATTGATTTTTATAATGATTGTGAGTGCCGATTTTTTAAATACATATTTTTTAAATATATTATTTATTATTTTAATTATGGCCATCTAAATTATACGGGATATACAATTATTGTTAAGTTTTAAAAAATGGTTATCATTTATATTTATAAAATTTATTATTCTTATAGTTATATAATATTGCATATAATTTCATTTGTGGTTGTTTATTTCAATTTTCGGATTTTGGGTTGGCTTGTTGAACTCAACAGCATTGGTGATTTATATAGTATTGAATATATTATATTTTTTATTTATAATTATTTATTTATATTTGATGATTGTTTATTTATTCACATTTGAAAATATTTATTATTATTGTTATATTAATTTATATGTATATAAAAATAAATTAATCAGGGCTATGCGGGGTTATCAATTTTTCTTTTCTTCAATCAATTCTTCAATTTTTTTATGTTTATTTAAAAGATTAAAGATTTAAATTATCTTATATTATTGAGTATTATATGATATTATCTTTTTGTGTTATTTTAAAAATTGAATTAAAAATTAAAATTAAAATTAAAATTTATAGAGTTTTTTATAATAGAGAGGTGAAATCTGAATTGAAATTTTTTCTATTTTTAAATGAATTGTTATTTTTAGAGAATTTCAGGGTGTTTATACATAGGTAGATTAAGTTCGAGAAGAAGAACTTGTGCATGATTATCAAAAAAGGTTATTTTGATAAGAAATTTCAGATTAAAAACGACATTCAGTTGGTATTTTCTTTTATATTTTAGTCTATTTATATATGTTTATATGTTTATCGAATAATAGTGGTGCATTAATTTTAGATTTTTATTAGTTAAAATAAGATTTTTTTGGGCGTTTTTACTTATTTAACAGTCATTTGTCCTCTTCTTCCTCATCTTTGTCATCATCATCTTTATTATCATTGTCGTCAGTTATTTTAAAAAATAATATTAGGTATGCTATTCCTTTGGTTTTTTTTCTGCTGTTTTTGTTATGAACACGTTAATTACGCGACGATAATTTCAAATAAAATTTCATTTAATTCTGGATTTTATTCATTTCCATCAATAATTTGCTTCATACTTTTTATTTTCTGCGTTTTATGAAAGTACCTCCTGGAATGGAATAGAGAATATTTTTATTTTTAGATTATTTCTTCATAAACTCGAATTTTTGAGTTGTTCATTAATTTGCAGTAATATAGTTGATCTGGAGGAAATGATTGAAATTTGATAAGATATTTGGATATTTTAATTCTATGTCATGAGATGTGATGGCTTATGTAAGAGTGTTATAGTTCGTGGAAGACGAGTAATACTTTTTCACTTCATATAGATTATTTTCGTTTATAGATTATATTTTCGTTGAACAGCCAGCTATTGTGCAAATTGGACTTCATTTAGCGATTATGGTATCAGAACATCGTCAAGATTTTTATATGAGAATATATCGTCAGAAGTATTCTCCAGACGGTAATTTTGATTATTTTGGCAATTCAGTTTTTATCGTATTGCTTAAAATCAGTTTTTAACTATTCTATAACCATATAAAATTTGCAATGTGTATTTTCCAAGAGGATTTCTAACCGATGATTTATCAATATGGAATAAGTTTTTGAAAAAATCTTAGAATTCTTCTAAAAAATCTTAGAAAATCTTAAATCTTGTTTTTATTAAATATTTTCCTTTCTTTTCCAAGTTTAAAGCGTGGTTTTTTCAATCTTTATAAGATTAATTCAATAGTCATGTTTCCATAACTGATTTGGTCTTCAATTTCCAAATATATTGATAATTTATAAAAATTAATAAAATAAAATAATTATATAAAAAAATATTTATTTGCAATATTTAAAGAGATATATTTTCAGGTAATTGGCTGTTGTGTTCAGATTCACGTTCGCGATTATTAATATTTTCAATAACTGATGCATTATCACCTCGCGACTGGCCAGATTCTCAACGGCCATTACATTCAGTTATTAGCGTTAAACAACCGATTTATGCGCTTGAATCAACTGATTCATTATTAATCTGTGGTGATATAACAGGATGCTTATTTGCGTATTTTTGGTCAGATTTACTAAATCCATCTGATTGTGATGCAAAGGCAATTTTTAACTTTAAACACTTTACTAGTTCGATGAATTCTGATTGCAATGAAATTAATTCATTGCTAATCATTGGTGATAACAAATTATTATTTGCTGGAGCAGCAGACAATGCCATTCGAATTGTCGACATCGAGAGACCTGATCAGGTTTTTTTCTGTTTTATTATTAATAGACTAAATTGTAAATTTCGATGTTTTTTATTCAAAGTGATTTTTGGGATTTCCTTTGAGCCATGGTAATAATCATTTAAAATAGCACTGATTGTCATAAGTGTATAATATATTTAATATATTAATATAATATAACATATTTAACGTTTCTCTTTTTCATGCAATTGTCAAGTAAATTTATAATTTATTCCTGTTTTTGAAAATAAATATAGGAGTTCTTAAAATTCACTTTTTATCCAGGCGATTGCAGTTTTTTCTGGACATTCGAATACTATCAATGAATTGGCAAAACGAACAGAAAATGAATTTCTTAGTGCTTCTGAGGATGGTACCGTTCGTCTTTGGGATATTCGATCTCAAGATACAGCACATATTATACGCGTTTGTGATGAACCACAACTTACTAGAAATAACTGTGGTAAAGGAGTTTGCGCTTTAGACGCAAATAGTTCATTTATGGTATTAATGATTGTTATATTATACAGTTACAATTATTAATTTTTTGAAAGGATAAAATGAGTAAGATGAAGAATTTTGAAAACTAGTGGCAGATCAAGAAATAAAAAATAAATTTTTGATTTTTTTTCATTCTTTATAAGTTTATTTAATCACTTTAGATTTGTGGTGGAGATGTCGACCTTGCCATATGGCATCTGAGCTCTTTATCCTTTGCTTCAAAACTGGAAGGTAATTGGCCTTCTTTAATGCGACATTTAACTGTTAAAATGGATGGTGAAAGGATCCTTGCTGGAGGAATATCATGTTACTTGAATCAGGTATTTTAATCAGTTTGCTTTTCTTAAACATCTTTTTTAGCTTTCTTGTTCTTATAGAAATTTTTTAAATTGGTTAATATAGAGTCTTAAATTCTTTTTAGATATAACCATAATAAGAAACTGAATCTTTTTTTAGTTCGATTATTCCGGAAAATTTAAAACTTCGATCAAAACATCAGCGGAAGCGATATATTCCATTGAATCAAATGAGATAGAAAAGAATGCAGTAACTTCTTCTGCTGGAGATTCTCCTCTTATAGATATATTTCTGAATTCTGGTTATATTTCCTTTAGTTTTAATTGTTCAGTTGTGAATAAAATTCAATAAAATTTTTGTTGTTAAAATTATTACTTGCTTTTTCGACATAATATATTTACTGGATTAACTATCAGAAGAATGAAATTATCATTATATAAATTTTTTTAACCCAAAGTTGGCTCCAGTTTGCCGTACTTTTTATTTTTCTAAAATAGCCTTTTAAACATATTATATAAGTTATTAAATTAATTAAATTAAAGTAATAAATTAAATTGATAAGCAAATTAGTGCTTTGTACTTTTCTGGAAATGCTTATTGGTCGTTAGTCCGTCAGAATTTTTATTAGAAATGATGTATAAAATGACCCTAAAAGCACAGGTCGCCAATATCGCCCGTATTTTCTCATAATTTCAAACTTCTGTCGTAGGGAGCGAACCGGATAATTTGAGTTAGTTCGCATGTTTCTGCCCTTCCCTTTTTTCAGTTTTTTCAAAATTTTCAGCTGTCTCGTTTTTTAAGATTTTTTAGATATTTCATATTCAGATATTTTTTAGATATTCAGTCTAAATGCGGTTTATTTTTGCATGAAATTGAGCGTAAGGAAATAAAAGTGTTTTAGGGTTTGCTAATTTCGTAATGTTCCTCTCATTTCCTTCATAAATTATTTGCTATATTTGAAAAAATTTAAATTTGTACTTCTTTAATTTCTATTAATCAGCAGTCCTAATGAATGAAAGTACTGGTTCACTCAAATGGTTATCGCTAGTAATAGAAGATTTCGGAATAATCTGGGTTATCAGAAAATTTCGTAAGACATAAAACCACTCTAATCCAAAATGGCCTAGCGAAAGACGAAATTACACTCCTGATAATAGCAGCTAAAAATGCTTTTTTCCGGTAGACGAATCCTTTGTGCACTCGTCACGAAATCACTATAAAAAGGAAAGTCTATGTAAGTCTGTGTAGTCCGCGACTATGTAATCGCAGTTCGCTGGATCTTGGGTATGAGACCTGGCCACTGAGAATGGAGGATATCAAGAAGTTATCTGTCTTCGAACATCTAAGATACATGTCCGCAGAGCGGACAAAATCATATGTTTGCATCCATCTTCGCTTAAATACCACTTCCATTAGCAGTATCATCACAGAATGCCATCTTCGTACATTCTTCGTCGGCCATCACAAGAGTTGATAAGTATTTCGTTACTTCCTAAATTCTGCAATGAGAAGTGAGTTGGATCAGTCAATCAATCTGAAAGGTTTTTTTTTCTAAACGCACTCACCAGTAGCTAGCTCAAGGATCATTCAACTTGCTTATTGAACAGACAAATTATTGCCAAGGAGTTGTTTAATGATAGAAGTACAATAGTGCATTTATTCCATGGAACCAATGAATTGACGTTTTCAAGTTTCTCTTCGAAAGTAGAAGATGCAATAGATCCAGTAGAAGAATAAAAAACTAAAGAGATCTACAGGGTTCGTTTGACCTTTCAATAACTTGGCAATTTTTCGTCGTGGTGGTACATGAAAATATTGAAATTATCGGATGATCCTGAAGTCAAAAATTGCGATATTTCGTACTTTAGCCAATGGCATAACCAAGAAACCAAATAGACCCGAAACCACACAAAAAATGATCGAATAAATAATTTCTGAATGATATTAGTAGACAGGATAGTTAGTAGATAGGCTTCAGTAGATAGTAAGGAAGAATCCTTATAGTTATAATATAGGTATCAGTATAATATCAATGATGTGAAATCCTAAGATTAAATGCATTGCAAAATAGAAAACTGGAGGTTTGATGGTCCAAGTCTGAATTATCGGTAATTATCTTTCTGGTAAAATGTGTATGAATGTAAAACTATGTTATAAATATGGGAATATGCGAATATCACGAATAGGTGATTAGCAAAACCAACACGAGTTCCATCCATCCAACAAGTGACTGGAATTTTTTTTATCTCGAAAAATTTGATTCCGCTTGTGACAAGTGGTACTTCAGAAGTATAAAAGGTTGAAGAACTATAAGATGAAAAAATTTAAGTAAATGGAAAAACTTACCAAGCTGAAATAAATATAGTTCAAAAATCAAATCATGTAACCGTTCCATATTTAAATTTTTTTAAAAATTTTTAAATTTTCAAAAGAAAAGGCTTGTTTCTCAACATGTAAAGATTTTCATTAAAAAATGCTTTTTTTTCCAAAAGTGGTTACGAATCTTACTTAGGCTTGCTTTGGTCCATGAAACCTTTTATCAGGAGAGCACATGGTGATAGAGCGACAGGTGAGCCGCCAACATTTTCTGGATTTTTGAAAAACAGATTTACCCTTGCCGAAACCTTAGCATCGCCGCTCTGAGCAAGAATCTATTGAGCCATTTCTTCCAAGTTTCGGTTTATTAAACAGAAAATTTTTGAACTGATGTGAAATGAGATATGAGAATGTGAAACTATGGATTTATGATGGACGTAAATATGATTTTTAATTGAAATGAGGAAGATTTCAGTTCAGTTTTATTTCGGAAGCGCCTAACGCAAGTACATAAGGTGATTTTTTACGATATTTATTCGTCTTATCCGACCATTTATTCGACAAAAATTCGATCCGCAATTCATATCTCGCAAATTCTATATTTACTTTATATTACTAACGCTAAGATTTTAATTTGGTGATTTGGAACAACTCGAAATTTTGCGGTGATTTGTCTTCGAATGAATAGCAAAGAACCAAAACCTTCGACCTTCAGATGGGCAATTTGCGCGATATTATAGGATTTTTGAAGTTGATCGTATGAGATTTCACCAATCTTTAATCGCTTCATGCCTGTTCTGTTTAAGAAGAAAAGAATTAATTTAAATTTAAATTTGCCATCCACAAATCCGCTTACTGCTGATTTGTTTCTTACCAAGCTGTTATTATTATTTGTCATCATTTACTATTATTATTTATTATATTTTAATTATCATTATTAATACTATTGTTACTATTATTAAATATTGCTATTATTATTATTACCATCATTACTATTGTTATTTATTACCACTATTATTATTGTTATTTATTATTTATTAGTTATTATTTATTATTATTATCTATTATTATTGTTATTATTATTAATTAATTATTGACAGCAGTAAAAATAATATGTCCATTAATTCTATGAAAATATTAATCGAAAAAATCGAAATCAAATAAAAATTCGCTGAATTTTATTGCAAGCTGTTATCGTTAAAAAGAACCAATTTTTTTTTTCCAAATGATAGTGATAATTCAAATAGAAATTTAGAATTCAGATAGATCGGATGATTAGCAAACTGCAAAAAATTATTATTTAATCGCTCGAGTTGAGCATATCGGTCGTCGCTTTATCAAACAGTTGTGCTGTTTTATCTTATTTATTGATCTTTTGTTTTCATTTAGTGGATTTTATCCACGAAAAATATTCTAAATTGGCTATTCTAGTTGGATTTTCTTTCAAAAAAAACCTCCTTACTTTCAGTTTCCATTATTTTCCATTACTTTTTATGTTTGAGTTGCTTAAAATAGCCTTAAATATTTTTTATTATAAATTATCGTTCTTTATTTATCATCTTTTTTTCTGCTTTTAATTCAGCATTCAACGTTGCGAATCGTTGGATCACTTCCACTATCAGAATGTCGTCTACCGGAGGGAGACCACTCGACATCAGCACGCGTATTTATCAGCATTCACTTTTTTAAGGAAGTCTCGCTATTTATTTCGATATTTCCTCAGCTTACGATACCAAAACTTGCTTAGAATGGCTCAATGGATTGTTATTCTTGTCATTTTGGATATTGAAATATATGAGTAAAGTTTTCAAAAAGTGTAGAGATGCTGGCGATTCACCTATCGTCAAACGACTCTTAAAACAAGCTAGGTATGCAGTATGCCAAACCAAAGGGTGAGCATTCCTAGAAAATTTTAATTGGAAATGAAAAAAAAAGATATCTTGTAAGATATCTTTAATTTAAATTCTCGAATTTTTTCCGAAATTCACTTTTTTAAATTGAAAACCACGTTAGTCATTTGCGTTTATAATGAATTTGTGTTGTTAAATTGTAAAATTCGTTGATTTTATTTTCGAACATTTGTTCACTTTTAATAACAACATTAGACGAACTAATCGACAACAACCAGTCTCCCGAACTATTCCATTATTTTTTGATTACTTTTATCACCATTACTTCATCACAAATTTTCATAAATTGAGATTTTTTATCGAACTAATTTTTTAACCTCTTTTTTGTCAAAAATCTTTTTTCTAAACACTGAGTGTTTTTCGAATTCAGTTGGTTCACTGCAAATTTTGCCAGGGAGTCACTGAGAATATAGATGCACTGGATAGAAAGAACCATTTGGATTTTTAAAAAAAACGAGTTTTCTTCCACCAAGTTTGAGGAATAGAAGTGCAGCATCGACGTTTCGAAATGAAAGCAATAACGCCCTAAGCCATTTTCCTCACTGCAAATATATTTAAAAAATTTGAAAAATTTAAACCTGTTTCGATTCATTTTTAAACGCTATTTAGATAAGAAACATCGATAAATTTCAATAAAAATGTATAATTGGTTCAAATTATTTTTAAAAATTTTCGAATTCATAAATATATTTACGAGGAAATTTTCAGAAAATCTTAATGTTTTTCGTGAATTTTGATGAGATTTTAAAACTTTTACCATTTTTTATTCTCATAATTATTTCATGTGTTATTGGCTTACATCAATTATTTTTTACTTCTCTGCATAGTCCAATTCACTTTCAACAGGTTGGTATTTTCTTTTTTTATTTCTCTATTCGAAGAACGCTTAACTTTTTAAATTAGCCTCTGGCATATCGAATCGGACAAATTTTACTTTAGGTGCCATTAAGCGATAGAAGTGCAGGTGAGTCGATAGTGTCACCCCAGGGATTTACTCCTGAGAACTCAATGGTCAGTGCTCCGAACTGGTTGCAATAATTGGTTATGCCATTTCGCCTCCAAGAGGTTGGCATAATCACATACAAATTAATTATATATGGATTGAAGCTTGGATTCAAATCCGTCGACTCACCACTCTTCGTTGGGGGCACTTTCGCCTAATGTAGAAAAACAAAGGAGAGTAAAATAGCTTATTAGCTCATTCCTCAATTCGTCGTTCACCGCCACTGAGTTCTACTTCCGACAGGAGAAATCTGCCCAAAAACCCAAGTAATGCTGGCGATTCACCCGCCCGCACTTCTAACGTCAGGAGATCTCTGTATATTTGTCTAATCCGACAAGCCAGCTAATTGTGAAAAAGGAAAAAAATTAAATATGAATTAAATTAAATTTCAGAAAGGTAGAAAATTATTGTTGTATGTTTAGTAATTTTAAAATGGAATTTAAAAAAACAATGGTTTTTTCTCGATTTGGAATTTTCAAAGTTATTTAGCTGGATTTTTATTGTCTTTAAAAATTTTCGGCGAATTTTCATTGATACAAATTGTCGATGTCAAAATAATATTAAAAATATGGTATAAAAAAGTGAAAACATTTAAAAAATTTAGTTTTTTTTACTTTATTCCACTGATTATCGAAATAGAATAAAAATTGTATCTAATAGAGATCAATTCTACTTCTATTATTATAAAATATGAGAATTACCCTTCCATTGGTTGCATTGGTAACCAAGGAATGAATGAAATAAAGTTTTTTCGGTTCTATTATCGAACTTTACACAAAAAAGTAGAATATTTAATTATTTCGTTCAATATTATTATTAGCAACAGCAATTAAATTATTAGATTCTCAACAGTTAAATGAATGGACGAAATAAATTTGAAATTTAATACTAAAGGGAAACATTCTACAAAATGATATGAGTTTAGGATTTTCGTATTATTTTCAGACAGAGTGGTCTCGAATGGAGCGGCTTGGAACTATCTCATATTTCAGGGGCTGAAATAAACCACTAATTAGTAAAACTGACCTAAAAGCATTAAAAAAATTGAAGAAATTTAGTAATAGAATGAAAATTACTTACTTGCCATTATGAAAAATCGCCGACAATTTTTCACTACATTTACGATCCAATGGGCCTATAGGCCACATTAATCGACCATTAAACTTTCAAGCCATTTCGATATGTTGGCTATAAAATACTGAAAAAAATACTGAAACAATATTTAGTAATAGAATAAAAATTAATATATCTGATAAAGATCAATTCCATTTCTATTGCTTTTTTTAAATCTTATTTGCCATTAGTCCTGGCTGGCATAAGGTCAAGGTTGTCGAATGATATTTTCTATTGAGTAACATCAAACTATCGCGGGATGTATTTTTTGCGAAAATAAACCTATCATGAAATTTGGATCTTGTTGAGGGTCCAACTGTACTTTATTTTTTTATGAATATTCCTATATGATCCTCTAGCAAAATGGTTTAGCGGATTTGTGCACTCATGCACCCAAAGGTTTCTGCAATGTTTTCATGTTCATCGGCAAAAATCTATTTATTTATCCGCCTTTTATTTTTCCAATGGAAAGAAAAGATAAGGCAAAGGTAATATTAAACAAATTTGAATGCAGTATGATCTTTTTGATAGACTTTTTCCTTGTAAAATCTTATACTAGTAGTGCATATTATTAAAACGAGAGAAATTTCTAGGGTCTTTACGAAGTGTCACCCTGGCAAAGTGCATTATGCGGTGTACTGGTGACTATTTCACCATTTATTTGTATGATTCCTTTTTATTCAGGTTAACATTCATTTTTTTTCAATATTTTATTCCTACATTTTAAATAAATTTTTACACCACTTTTAAAATGAATAAACTAAAGAATTCAAGACTTTGATGTTAGAAAATTCAGCAGTCATTTTTTGATATTTGTTACCATCTATTGTTATCGAAATAAAAATAGTTATATACCTCATTTTTTTTTATTTTTGGCCTAAATAATATTTATAATAAATAATAATGATAATAATATTATGCGTGTGATTGTGATTTTTATTTCAGTAAGAGAAATAATATTTTATCCGCTTGGCTATATTTTCGCATTTATTATTTCAACAATATTTTTTTCACCAGTTCTTCATTACATTCCATCGCCAACGATATGCCAGTATATAAATATGCGATACAAATGCTTATTTGGTAAGCTTTCTTCGATATTTAATATCATTTGAAGATTGAACTGGCTAAGTTAAGTTTAGATTTGTTGATAAATCGAGGCTAAAACTGGGACTTAAACACTTCAGGAACTTATAAGGGTGGAAGTGGTAATTATTGTAATTTGATTGTTGCTATTTGGTGAGAATAAAACTATCATTGGAAATCTGGTACTGAAGGCCAGTTGTATTTTTAATGCCGCTCTGGCTTAGCAGTCATACTTTTGTTATTATTTATTATGAATAGACCAAATGTTATGAGCACTATAAGAAACATTAATGATGATGAAAGTTTAATTAGATATAGACTCTTACTGAAGGTGCAGTAATCAGATTGGCTCTAAGTAATAAGGTGCAGTTATCAGATTGAACGAGTTATTTAATAAATAAATAAATAAATAAATAAATAAATATCGAATTAATATTTGACAAATATATACCAAAGAAAATATTTGTTTTTAAAATATTTGTTTAAGAAATTACCAAATCTTTTCTCATAAATTTTTTTTCTTGAAAATTACTTAAAGTTCATATGAAATTTGCAAGTAAATGATTGTTAATAAATCATTTGATTTCTTAAATTCAGTTCATTTGTTCTCAGTTGCTGTTTATTTATTCTTAATGGTGTCTTACGCGATTGTTTTGCTCATATTTTTAACGACATTGGTCGCTGAAATCACTGAATTATCATCGAAGATTATATGTCCATTTTTTGGAGTTTTTGTCGTTTTTACAGTTATTTTTGGTGGCTATACAGCCGTTTCGGCAATTACATTTATTCTACAATTTACAGTAACTTTACATTTTGCTTTTCATTTTACTGTGCAAATAAACACCAGTAATTTTTTGGACTTTTCATAGTTCACTAAATCTTAGTAAATAGAATACAGGAAAATACTATGAGAATAATAGAATATTTTTCACATTAGTTTTTATGGTGACTTTTTTATGGTGGGTTTTTTGGATGGAACTCGGGAACTGTGCATTTTTCTAAAATGTAAACATTTTTAAACATTTCTAAATTTCTAAACATTTTTCTAAAAATTTTGAACTAGCTTTCATCCTGAAAATTATTAAATTACTGTGATAAATCCTATTGCATTTGTTCTAAATAATTTTAAATCTTCAGATTGTCATCGGTGGTTTTGGTTTATTTTTTTATCAATCAGCAGGAAAGTTATTATTTATTCCTGATTTCATGAGCAATGATAAAGATTTCTCTATCTTCGATTCTATTCTAACTTCTTCAATAGGTTTTTTGAATGGTCTACATTTCGCATCTGCCAGTCCTTTACTATATCAAGTAATATAACCATGATTAACTATTAATTTGATATTTGTTTTTCATTTCTATAATAAAATTCAGTTCACTGCGACATATTTCTGGAAGTTCTGAAATTCTGTGTTTCCTCTTTCCTCTTCATCTGACAGTCATTTTTGGTAATTTTGGTTCGAATAGTTTCATTACCTATTAAGGCAAACTCATTCGCCAGGAGGCAAAAATATAAGCATCAGTAGAATTTCGTTTTTAATAAGAGGTTTACTCTCATCAAAGGGTAAGGATCGAATCCAATATGCTCAATTTTTAGTAATATACCACTAGATTGACCATTTCTGCAATTACGTATTCTTTCGCATACCAAAGTAATATTGTAAAGCAGTAGAATATATGCTTTTATTGGTAATAGGCAAGCCTGTCATTAAATTTGAAATCTAGATAACGCATCGGATCTATTCATATTCTCATTCTCATATCGTTGCAAAAACAAAATGCTGCAGTAATTATCGCAGGCGTCAAATCAGAAACGCACTGTCAAAAAAGTGAAGTACCACAGTCTAATTGGCATTTTTCAGCACTACTTCACAATTCTTACGACTCAACGATTGAGGATTTCTTTTATTTTACATTCGATAATTTTCTTGGTATTTTTCGTTTCGATATTTTTTATATCATTATTATACGATGAATATATACGAAAAGAATGCCCCATCGATTATCACTCAGCCTTTAATATTATACAATTTTTGAATTCTTTATTTCATATGAATTTCATCGCTTCACTATTTTTTATTTCTGCCCTAAATATTCTCATAATAAATACCATTTCTCTTATTCTTTTATCAATTTCAACAGTATTATGGGAAGATCTATTAAAGCCAAAATTCTCGAGGTCACCTCAAATCAATCAACTTCGCTTTGTACAAGTAATCGTTTCGTTTAGCTTTAAAGATTTATGAATAGGTTTTTTAAAACCTCAAATCATTACCACTATCAAGAATTCTTGTGATATAAGTCAAAATTGATTCAAAAATAACCAAGCTAAAAGTAAAAATTTCATACCTAAAGATCAGATTTGTTCCAGTTTTTCAGCTATTAATCAATTATCTAAATATTAAGGTATAATTAATTCGAAGGAATTGAATATGAAAATATTTTCACAAGCCTTTAATTGATATAATTGGTCATTTCCATCTTGAAGGGAGGCAAGGGGAGGAAGAGGGAGAGGAACAAGGAAGAAAAAACTATAAAATAGAATTTTAGAACAAAAGCCAGAATTCTATTGATTATAAAATATAAATTGATAAGAAATGAGCTAGAACATTAGGCTCAAAACAAATTATTAGCATTATTAACTGTTAATATTAACATTGTTATTTTTACTAAAAAGAGGAAAGATTTGACAAAAATTCAGCCTAATAAAGTTATTGGCTTACTGGTCATAAATTTTTTTGCAGATATGTTTATTTACGTCTGGAGCACTTATAACAACATCTTCACTAGGAATACTTAATTTCGATATCAGATTTTTGGAAAATATTTCGCTTATATTTTTTGGTTTGAGGTAAATAACCGAATTTATGATAGTGGATTTTTATGATAATGTGATAATATTGTAAGGAAAACGAGAGCTTGAACCATCTATAAGCTTTTCATTATTTTATCAATCGCGCAAGTGGTGATTTGCTATAAAAATCTAGAGAATTTCGCTGGAACTTTTTTATCGATAGAATAATAAATTGAAGTAAATATTTTTGACAGCAAACAATTTTAGTACCATGGCTTCACCAATCACTGCCATATTTTTGACCGGTTATTTATTACCGCATAGTGGTTGGCGAGCGACTGTTATTGGCATTTTGAACGGATACATAGCGATATTTATGGTGTTATTCCTTAAATTTTCCTCTATTTTAAATATTTCACTTGGAACTGCATGTGTAAATTCCACATCAGATCTCAATGATGTTTTGCAATTATCTGAAAATTTCTCCGTGATAACCAGTCTAATATCGGAAGGTTCTATTTTACAAACAAATACATCACTTCTCGAAATTTTCCCGTTATCTTCGCTTCCCATATTTGCATTTATGGTAAGAACCTTGTTTTAATTTAGAAAATATAAAGTAGAAAATTAAAGCTTTTATTAAAATTTTTCATGTTTTGCAAATTTTCTAGATTATTTTTTACTAGTTTATTTAGAATCGTCTTTATTCCACATTCAGTCGTCCACGCCCTAATAAATTATATGAGTTAATGGGGGATAGAATGACTCAGTGGGTTATCGCTGTTTCGAAGTGCCAGTCTGAGGTTCTTTTCCTTGCAGGAGCAAGCCTGTCCAAAAATCTGGGTGATGCTCATTTATACTTCTATCACCAAATGGCTTCCTGGTTATCAGCAATGAAGTCTAACAAAATTTGTCTAGTCCGACAAGTCAATGGAGCGAGTCCAATCAAAAATAGTAAACTCCCTTAGGAAAAAATATAAATATTAAGAAAATAATGCGGACGAAGAATATCGACTTAAACGAAAATTTTTTTCTATTCATTCAGGTTATTGATAATTTCAGATTACTATATTGTCAATAATAATTTCATCGCTGTGTCTCAATGAAACGAACCCGTTGGCACTTGACTGGAATCTCGTCATTTATTCATCATTTCCGTCTTTATGCTTCAATCGACGAATCAATGCCAATTCTCGCCAGAGACAGAGACAAGCGTTTGTCGAAAGCGAATCATTCAGGTTATTGCTATTTTTTAAAATTTTTAAAAAGCAAAACTATAAAATTACAATTTAAAGGATTCAATCTCATTAAACTCTAAATATTTATTGATAAAAATTGTCATTCTTTCGTAATGGCCTTAAAAAACGACTGTGACTAACGACTATCCCATATAATAAAATTTCTATGGTCCGACAAAGTAGTGGAGTGAATTTAGTCGGTTATGGATTATAGAAACAAAGACTGCGAAATTTCCTTTCTTTACTACTACGGGACGAAATTAATTTCGCAGTACCGCAAACCACAAAAAAAATATTGTTTGCGAACATTTCTAAGAGTTTTAAATATATATTTACCTATGTAAATCATTCTAAGAATAATTGTATAGAAATATTTAAGTAAATAGTCAGAAAAGTATAAACTGCCAACAAATTACACAAATCACTGTAAATAAATTGATGTCTTCAAAGCCGAATATATTTCCCTTCAAACTGGTTCTATTCTATTCTATTAATGCTTATTCGAATCCTATTAGCGATTTTTTTATACTCAACCAAATCCTAATTATTCTTTCTCATTTATTTTTATTAAGAAAATTTAAAAATTATAATAAAACGAATAAATAATTCTCAAGTTTTTTAAAGATATGCTCAACAAACGCCATATCCAGAAACAAATCATTTTCCAAAGGAGAATTCATTTTTAAAAACCGAAAAATAAGAATCGCTTATCACTATCAAATATCAAATATTTGGCTTAATTTCTAATTTTTATTTCTTATTTTTTATCATATCTATAAACATTCATATTTTGCGAATTCATAAATCATATCACTCAACAAAAAAAAAAGCAATATTTTATCATTCTTTCTTTTCTGTTTAGTGCAAAAACCAATACGATTTTTTTCAGTATTTTCTGCTTTTATTTTCACAATAATGATTGATTTTACTGACCTTCCTTTCCTTAAGCCTACGTTAACAAATGAGAAGAGAAGAGAACTAGAATTAGGTCAGGTTATTCGATTAGGTTATTAGGTTATTAAAAGAACACGGTTATCCGATTTACTAGTGCACTAAAATTTATCACAGTTGCTTTTTCATTATATTACTATTCACAGGATTAATTGGAATATTTCTAGCGGTTTCATTATATTGGTTTATATCTGGTGACTGGTTCCAAGTGAATTTGCCATTTCCAGTCTGGCTGGCTATTATTAAGATGGAAATTCTTTTATATAGAAAAATTGGATTTCAAGCAATTTTAGATCTAATTATTCAACTGAGACAATTGTTAATTCTGGCCCTTAATTCAGATTTTGCAGTCAAAATTGAATTTTCAACTTTTCTGGCTAGAAAAACAAGAGGACTCCAGGAAAAAATTCTCCGGCTTCATTTTCATTTGATTTAGTGCATTCAACGAAATTGAAACTTTCATAATTGTTTCTTACTAGGAGCAATTCGGCCATCCTACCATTTATGTTGGCTTCTATCTATAGAAATTTGGCAAATGATATATTCGCATGTGGAATTTTCTGCTTCTTAATTTATCATTGTAATTAATTTCTTTTATTGTAATCAACTACGATATAAATAGAAATAAAAACTTGTACAAAATTTATTTTTTAGGAAAAGTGCCAAACATTTGCATCTTTTACGTTTTCTATAGATAGGTTTTTTCAATAAGAAATTTACTGAAGGAAAAGAGAAAGGAGAATTGTTAGTGCAAATTTTTTCGAGCAGTTCTGATGAGTTCGAAATGAATTTTTTGCCACTAATATTTTGGTTCTTATCATTTTTTTATTTCTTAAGGTTTTATCTTGTTTTAAATAAACATTTAATTAAAACTTATCGGAATTCTCATTTTATTATTATATCTTCTAGCAAATATGCACCATTAATTAATTAATATCATTCATAATGAACGACAGTGAAAGTGATAAAAGTGATAATCGCTCTTCAATCAATTCCTATGTTTTGTTTTACAACAAAAGTTTAGGTCAACGGCAATATTCAACGGCAATATTTTTCTGAAATATTTTATGTTCATGAAAATAAATAAATATATGATAAAACCTGATGAAATTTTATAAACCGAGGATTTAATCAATTTCTTCGATCCTCAAAAATGATTGCCCACTATATAAAGTTTCGTTTTGTTTTGCGTTCGAAAATTCATGATTCATAGAATAATTTCCAAAAGGCAAGTTTGTTGGCGTAAACTGAGAAATATTCAAATTTTGTGGTGAGTATCCATATGGAACGTGATGAATAGCGGCTAAATATGATGGTAGCGGTGGTGGACAAGGTGGAAGAGGACAAGATGGAGGAGGAGGGAAATAATGCTGAGCAGCTTGATGAATTTGACGTTGAGGAGGTGGACTATGCTTTAAAGGGATTTTTCTCGACATTGAAGATGCGGCAATAGGCAAAACTGATGGCTGTAATGGCATTGTTGGCCTTTTAGTTCCAATAACAACTGGGATTTCAAGTTTTGGGCATTTATCAATACTAAATGCGACATGATATGACGTGTTAATTGGAACGCTTGTCAATGAATATGTTGGAAAAATTCCATCTGGTATCTGAAAAAGTTATTTTCTTATTGATGAATAAATGTCAAGAAAGACGTTGAAATTTGCAAAATCTCGTTCATTCGAAAATTCTGCTAAAATCGAAATTTAAAACAAAGAAGAAGTTTAAACTTCGGCTAAATTTCTTAAGGGCAATTATCTTACTTTCTACCCAAAATTATTTTAATTTGCTATCTAAAAGACATTTTATATTCATTCTTCTGCCTTAGCCAGTAATTTAGTTCTTTTTTTCTAAGAATTATTATCACTTTTGGTTAGGCTCGCTTCATTGATTTGTCAGATTTGAAATAAATAAAATTTGTTTATTTGATATAAATTATATAATATAATATAATTTGTTTATTTAATATAAATTACAAAATAATAAAATAAATTTATTTAATAAAATAAATTAATTAATAAATTATAAATTTATAAAAAAAATTTGAAAATTTGATGAAATAAAATTTTGCCAATTAGCGAAAGTTATGGAGAAAGCTTTTAACATTTAAATTTAAATAATACTATTATTTTAGTATCAAAATCAATGCGATTTGTTAAACCTGTTCGCAATATTAACTGTTTTATTGGAGAAATTAAATGAAATGACATTCTCAAAATATTTTGCAAATTAGTGATAAAAAGGCTCCCCAGGGTACATTAAGGTGCTTAAGGTGTAAATGCGCTGGAACAACTCGAAAGTAAAATGTAATAAGCCAAATACTGTTGGCAGAAAAAATGAAAACAAAGCTGTAATAAGCCAAACACCATTAGCATCAATGATTACCATAATAATTATTTAAATTCCTTTATTATTTTTCAAAATGTTTCATTTACCTGTAAAACATTTTCAAATGTAGTGGTTGATTGCGGTGGCACAGATGGTATCACAAAATGGGCCACAATCATTTTACTGAAATATCAAGTTTTAAATCTTGCAAATATTTTGTAGTAAATTTTCTTTTTAGGTTCCCCTAGGACTATTTTTCATACTGATTTTTTCTTACACTTCTGATCGTTAGGAAAATCTCTTTTGCGAAATCCCAGGACGAATCCAATTCAATATTTTTGGAATCGTATCAATTCTATATTTCAACTTTATGAATTCAACATGTTTCTAGGATTTAACTAGAATTTTAAATGAATCTGTGGAAAAATCTTCGTTCGATTTTCATAGAGCAATTTGAACTGTGAAATTTTCTAATTTGAAAATAACTAATATTAACGAATATTTCTGAGCTCCTTTACAACGACAACGAAAAACGGAAACTAATTCAACGAGTCCTTCTTTAATTGGTTTCGAGTTGTGTTGATTATCTATCTCGCCATAAACATTTATTTTTTCACCTATAAAACTTACGATTAATTCAATAAAGCGAAAGAAATCTCCTCGACTATATCAGATAATTGTTTTAGTAGTAAAATAAAAAATAAAAGCGAAAAACTTATTTCTGGACCAGTGAAATATCAGTCAACATTGTCAGTCAGCAAAGCGGAATAGCTAGCGGCTATTTGGGAAGAGCTTTCGGTTCTATAAACTACCCAGATTGCTAGTTTTCATTTCATCATTCTTGAATCTCTTTTTTATAATTCTTTTTTGCTTTTATTTTTGTCCGTATTTGATTTTTATGTCAAATTTCTCATTTGGAAGGGCACTCCAGTGGCTCACTGTTCAGATTGCTCGGCGCCTTCACCAATAAGAAAAAACCTGTTTTTAAGAAATTCGAGTGGTCATCAGTTCTGCTCAAGTAACTTACTAACTGGTAAAAAATTTTTCACACTATTAATAGCAAGTTCAACTAAAAATGATGGGCATTTTCATATGGCTTTAGGTAGCTTTTACTTATGGGTTGAAATATTCTAAATTGCTATTGAAAGTTCTCTAACATTCTCTAACGCGTAATATTTTAAAAAATTGTGGCAGCTCTCAGTTCTTTAAAAAAAATTTAAAATTTTTATAAATAATATAGAAAAATTTTCTCATATTTCGTATTTTAAAAAAAAGATATGATAAGTTGATAATGATTCGGAATGATTGATCGATTATTTCTTAATTCAATAAAAATAATTTTAATTTTTTCGTATTTTTATATATTTATAAAAAAAAGGTTCATTAATCTCTTTCGCTCTTTTATGACAAATTTAAAGAATGTGAAGAGTGAAAATGAGAAAAAAAGGTTTGTGCATTTTGATTTGCTTGATTTTTCTTTCTGAAGGCCACTCAAAATTCCGAATTACTCGTTTCCCATCGAGAAAATTATTAATCGAGGTTTTAAATGAGAGGCTTCAGACAGTCAAATTTATGGCTTTTTTTGAAAATTTAATCGCTTTGCTAAAAATGTCCAATGAGCAGCCTTTGAATGAATACGTTCAGACCATCATCATCATCACTATTCGGTCCTTGCTTCAGGAATATTATTAAAAATTTCGAACGAGGATCCATTCGATTGTCCTATTGTACCTCTCTTTTAGAATTCTCGCATCCTACAGCCCACCTATGCAAATCTAATCAAAATGAAGTGTAAATTTTTCACTTTTTGTATATGTTGAAAATATATGATAAAATAGAATAGCTTTGCAAATCAAAACAAAAACACAAAACACTATAAAAAATAAAGATTGAAAGAAAAAAATTATAAAATAAAGTTGTTGGAACCATTAATATGGAAAGGAAAAAGAGGGTCTTTTTAAATATATTTTAAAGAAAATTCAAGATATTAGCTCTAAAGAATCCTGGAAATGGCATTTTTCGTAGACAATTGCCATACCTGTAATGAAGGCAGCTTTTTCTAATTCAATACATAGAGTAGCATTGATTTTATTGCAGCATAGAAACTTTTTCTTGTAATTTTTTTGAACGAATACTGGTGCTCGAAATGAAGTATACCATGAAATATCAACAACCGGAACAACAAATACGGGCTTCATCTTCACATTTTCTGAATGGCCTATTCGTCCACTGGTTTTTAACTGCAAAGTTTTCAAAAAAAAAGTTTAAATGAGAAATGTGGAGGAAGATGATAAAATGTGATATTTGCTTCGACTAAAATCAGTTATCACCTTTGTCATTGAAAGAGAAATTTGGGTGATGGTGGAATTCATTGCATATTTTCTATATTATGAGAGTCTTATTCAAAAGCGATTATCATAGTATGAAGCCAGCGAAACCAGAAATGGTTGAAAAAAAAGAAAGAATAATCAGCGATATAAAAATATTTTTGATCCTTCTAGCTCAACGGTTATAGTCTTTTCCATGTTTTTCATAAGGGTTTACAATAGAAAGTCAACCAGGTACATCAGAATTATTAGAGAACATATATATTAATATCATATATTAATAAATAAATAACCACAGTTATTGATAGCTGATATGAATAACCAGTAATGATAAGGAAATCTATTTACAAAATAATATACTAAAAAAAAATTCTTTGCTTTACTGTTGAACAATAAATTACATCAATTATTTTATTGATTCGTTCAAAAACTAAAATTTGTGGAGCATTTATTGTCAAAAATTAGATAAAATACTACTTGCCCTAGAAAAAAAAAGGATGAAAAACTAATTTTCATCGAGTCAATAAATTTAAAGAACCTTAACAATGATCGCATATTCGATGGTTCCATTTTTAGTGATTAGTGTGCCAGGACAGTTCTCATCGATCGTAATTCTCGATTCGAAACAATAACAACCAGCTGGTGCACGAATTTTGCCATTTCGTGTTTCCCATCGTTGTAGAATTTCATCAAAACCAATACGTAATCCGATTATTGGGTAAGTCTCTGATTGATTCGAACAATATGTGTGATATTTACCTTCAAAAATGCCGATCAACGAAAAGATTTGAGTTGAATGTGGAAAGTACAATTCAACATTGATTTGAAATGGCTGAAAAATAACGAAAATTTTTTATTTTTATCAATATTTTTATAATGCTTAGTAAATAAATATCTTTGCTAAGAGTTAATAAAATTTTTCACAATCAATTTCATTTTAAAGTAATAAAATTTAGGTGAAATTTTTAAAGTAAACAAATTACTTGTTTTTTCCTCAGTTATAATTGTAATAATTATTGGCTTTTTTTTTCAGTAATTTATTGCAAAATATAATTTCGAATGCATTAACCTCAATCTTTTTAAAAAGTAACAGGTTGAAAGTAAAATATGCAAACAAAAGTTGTATCTTAACAAGTTCAATAAATGTTTTAGGTGACAAACAAATTTACTGTATAAAAAATAATAGTGAAGGGAGTAATTAGTAAAAAATAAGTAGAATAAAAATTCAGCGAAGAGAAAATTTAACCTTTCCAGCGATAATATTGTCTTGACAAAGGATGCGCAACCGAGATTGGTCTTTCTTCATTTTAAAATTCTGCAATATTCACTGGGGCGGGTTATGGTTCAAACGACCTAAATTAAATTTTTCTCCTTAGCTGAATTAAGAAATTTCAAAATTCACTTATGATTCAGTTACAAGAACCTCTTCATTGGTTTATACTTATTATATTTATACTTATTATATTATTATAGTTTTATTTTTTTTTAATTTTTTTGTTCTCATCTTAAAATTAAAATTATTAATTATCGCAATAATTCCGCATTGTTTTTTTGATTTGCAATCGTTAATTTATTTTCCACTCATTAAACTTATTCGAGCCGAAAACTTATCAAAACTTGATCTTGTTTCTTGTTTTTTCTTCTCTTCAATGAGAGTTATTTTCAAAACATTTCTAAGTTACATTACATTTTCAAGAAGCCTATAGTGCTCGCATTAAATATTAAATAGTATATTTATCGAACGAATCCCCCCCCTCCCCCCAAGTTTTAATAACCATAAAGCAATGGCACAAACTTTAACAAAAATGATCGTATTTTCATTAATTTTGTATTCTATTTTGCATTACTTATTGAAATTGAATGTTCAATAGAAGAAGGAATGGAAATGAAAGAAATTTCTCAACTAAAATTTGACCAGCAATTACCATTATAATGATGACTTCGGATTCTTTCGCTATTAATTACAATTTTTTCGCTTATAGTTCAACATTTGTTTTTTGGAAGGGAATTTCTTTGGTTTGTTATCAAAGATATGCATTCATCTCATAGCTTGAAAGAACTTTTTTCTGCCATTTTTCATTTTAGTCAATAATTTTGGTCTATTTTATCAGTCATTATCTTCACCATTCTTCTGTTATCCAAAGAAAATTTAATGCATAATTGAAATTAAATAGAATTACAATGATTAATACAATGATTACACGTGTATTGTGTTTATTTATAATTATATAAATAAATAATATATAATAATAATATATACATATATATTATAAATTTATATATAACATATATATATATATATATGTATATGTCAAACTTGGTTAAATTTGGTTGGAAAAAATAAGTAATTAAAAAAATAATTACAATAAGCCAGAGATCTGCAAGAAGAAGAAAAATATATATTTTCTCAAAAAATTTATCATATCAATTTGTATATATGTCGTGGTAAAAACCATACTTTTACGTTATTATTATTAAATTATTAACAAAGTTAAGCACGAAAATTATGATAATATGCGTGGATAATCAATATCGTGGATAATCCTCCTTAATCCACCATTAAAAAATCTTTCTAGGGACAAAAAAACTATATCAATATGCAGTTTCCTCCACTAATTAACACAATTGCTTCTATGTGCATCGCTTCTTTCCATGTGCTACTATGAGCATTTATAGATGTTCTATGCTTTATTTCACATTGTACAGCAAACGAATGAATGTTGGATCTTGTTGAATGATTATTGGTACGAGCCTACCAGTCTTTTGTTTTTATTTACTGCAATTAATAGAAATATTGCCAGAAAAAATTTCGCTTTATTAATTTTTGTTTTAATATTTTTTTGGTTTAAACAAATCTTTTAAAACGATCGCAATTCATCAGAATTTCAAATCTCATTTTTCTTTCCACTTTTTTCTCCATTTTTCGGATTCCTTCGCTATTAATTACAATTTTTTCCCTTATAGCCCAATATTTATTTTTTTTGAGAGGAATTTTTTTGATTTGCTATCAAAGATATGCCTTTATCTCATAATTCTATCAAATAGAGCAAAATAGGGAAAATTAATTTCAAGAATCTTTTTAATAATTCATGGTCACGAACTGAATGTTTTTTCGTTTCTTTTTTTGAAGATATTTGAAATATTTAAGGAGGCTCGGAATTTCGAAGTGTTGTAGAAGACAAATTAAATTATAGAATTCGATTCCTCTACCTTTGATTGACTTATATTAATTGTATTTCTACTAATAATTAACTAGGGGATGAAAAAGAATCATTCTAGTAGTTATTTGTGTGCTAACCAGATTGGAAATGGTGAATGCTATAAGAAGAAAAAGCATACGCTTCAATTAATGCTGAACAATAGAGTTATATCGAGTAGGTAGATACAAGAATAATGACTATTTATTGCCAAATAAAAATTCTTATGCCAAATCATGAATAAAACTTAGAAATGAAAATGTCATGCAAAAATGTCATAAGCAGTGAGTATTTCATTGCTTATAAAAGCCTTTTAAAATTTGCCATTCTTATTAGGCTTATTTATTATTATAATGAATTATTTTAACTGGAAATTTGTAGGAATATTTTTTGCAATTTATAAATTCTAATCCTTCAGATAATTATATGCCTAAACTTTTGCATAGTTCAGGCTCTATATTATTGTAGAATTGGATTAATACACTTTTCTGGTTTTCACTCAAGAAATTCTCTTCAGGTCTGAATTACAGTTAGAAAATGATTTAAAGTTACTTATAAATGAACTATAAGTTTATTATAAATTGAAAATGCTAATTTTTTCGTTACAAATTGTGTGGTAAAAGTAGTTTTTTCATTATTTTTGGCAAGTTTTTAAGCGAAATTAGATAGAATTATTAATAATAATAGTTAAAGTTTGGTCGCTTCGATTCATTACAACTTTTATTGCTTATGATTTTGGACTTAAAAGTATGGCTATTAGCTTCGCTTGGTTGAATTTTTTAATAATCGCAATTATAATTCATTCGAAAATTATTTGATGAAAAGATTCGGATTCTAATAGTAGGCACCAATTACTGGCTGTGTTACTGACTCATTTATCTATTGCGAAGTGCTTCCAGGCTGCTTGATCTGATTGTACAATAGCTGATAAGCTTTAATTTTTATCATATATCATGTAAATTTTTTTTAAGAGCTCATTATTACTTGTTACACTCATTCCTCTGGCTTGTTGTACTAAGAAAATGCACCAAGAGTACCTTAGCGGTAGAAAAACAGGTGAATCGCCTGCATCACCTGGATCTTTGGACAGTCTTACTCCTGCCCGAGGGATTCCCCAAAATTTCTGTATTAGCTCTGAATTGAGGCCATTCTCCTTTGTTTTTCTCATAGTGGCGCTATAAGTGGTAGTTGCATGAGACCGAAAAAATATTTTTTGCTATTAAGCATAGAAAATTTAAAATTGCATAAAATGGATCATTAAGTCACCAAGTGAAGATAGTTCATAAAAGATATCTACGACGATTAAGAAATTTTAGATGGATAGAAAGAGTATTTCTCAGTTAAATTGCAATATAATCTTTTGTATTAATATCTTTTAATACTAAATTAATGAATAATTAATTAAGCAGGATTGCTCCACAGCAAAGAGTGATGCTTTGGCGAATTCCAATCCATACCTCTTTTGATGGTTTTTGATGGCAATTATCTCACCACTGAGCCACTAAGCATTGCCGTTACTTATTTAAGCCCATAATTTTTTTTTAAGGGCTTTATTATTTATTATTTTATATATTATATTCTATATTATATTATTATTATTTTATTATTTTCAATAAATTCGAGATAAGCTTCTTAGCTATACTCCTTTTCCAAAAGGAATCGTCCATTTTTATCTTTTATATTCTCCATTTTGGCCATATGGATTAGCAAAGTCCATATTGAGTAAGCTTTTCATTATTTCCTTTAACTGAGCCGGGAGATTAAATTTTTCTTAGTTTCATTCGATTTTTTTTCTTGATCTTTCTTATTTGGAGACCGTTGAGATGGCTAAAAATCGTTGTATATCGAACTATTCTATAAGAATGCTTAAATAAGTTGATTATGGCTAGTGTTGCGATTCCACTGGGATTTGGTAACAGTGACTTTGAGTAGAGTATGGAGTGTTCATTTAATTTTATTTCTTCTCAATTTTATTATTTGTATTTCCAATCAAAAAGCCATTTGATGGTCTTTCGTGCTAACTTTTATGAATTTATTGCTTTAAATTTGCTTTATTCCAAATCAGCTGCAGCTTATTCATTCAGTAATTCATCTATAATGCTTCTTCGTTTCATCGTTTCCATTCTTGAAGAGGCTTTTTAATGTGGTGAAAAACTGAATAAAGTATCTTAGGAAAGGTTTTGCCAGTCTTTTTTTCACGATTTATTTTCTAATAGATAAATTCAATCATCGTAATGTCTATATGAAGACCAATAAAAATCTGAAATTTTGCTTTTTCTTAAATCAGAATTTAAGAAATTCAATATTATTCAGCCTGAATGATTTAGGAAAAAAGATAACATGAAAAAAACGTTATCAATGAGAAAACGTTATCTAATCGTCGTAAGTACCTTTCTAGCGTTTTTATATGATATTTTTCCGCCAAATTATTTTCTTTTTTTGCGAGCTTTTAAATTTCTTTCATCTATAATGTGGAAACTATTTTTCAATATTTCTTCGTGAAGTTATTTATTTTTCGGAAATGCAAACAGATAACCATTCTTTTCAGTTTTTCCCTTATGATTTGCTAGACTATTCATTC